AGACGCTTTTACAGACAGCACTTTTACACAAACACCCAGAGACTTTTACACACAGACGCTTCTACACGCAGACACTTTTACTGTCAGACGCTTTTACACACAGACACTCTTACACACAGACACTTTTACACAAAGGCTTTCACACGCAACGACTGTTACACACACACACACACGTTTTTACACACAGACACTTTTACACACAGAGGCTTTTACACACAGAAGCTTCTACATGCAGACCCTTTTACACATAGACGCTTTTACAAACAGACGCTTTTACACACACCTTCACACCCGGAGAGTTTTACACAAAGACGCTTTTACACGCAGACACTTGTACACACAGACGCTTTTACACACAGACACTTTTACACAAACACATTCACACGCGGAGACTGTTACACACAGAAGCTTTTACACACGGACGCTTTTACACACAGAAGCTTTTACACAGAGAAACTTTTACACACAGACGCTTTTACACACAAACACTTTTACACACAGACGCTTTTACACACAAACACTGTTACGCACAGAGACCGGACCCCTGAAATCGTTTTTTATCTCAGTTTTTGGCGATCGAACCTCATGTCGTGCGAAAGCGTTGCGATTGGATGCCGGAAATCGCAATTTTACCTCAGTTTTTGGCGATCAAAGCTCATTTCGTGCGAAAGGGTTGCGACGGGAACCCGGAAATCGCAATGTTACCTCAGTTTTTGGCGATCAAAGCTCATTTCGTGCGAAAGGGTTGCGTTTCGTGCCGTCTCGTTGCGCGCCTTCAAGAGAGAAATAGAAAAGAAGGAGATAGCAAGGGGGCAAGAGAGCAAGAGGGCAAGAGAGCAACAGGCAAGAGAGAATGTGATGAGAAGATGAGAAGATGTGAGGATGTGAAGATTAGAAGATGTGAAGATGTGAGGATGTGAAGATGTGAGGATGTGAGGATGAGAAGATATCCAGATGAGAAGATGTGAAGATGAGAAGATGTGAGGATGAGAAGATGTGAAGATGAGAAGATGTGAAGATGAGCAGATGTGAAGATGAGAAGATGTGAAGATGTGAGGATGTGAAGATGAGAAGATGTGAAGATGTGAGGATGTGAAGATGTGAGGATGTGAAAATGAAAGGATGTGAAGAAGAGAAGATGTGAAGATGAGAAGATGTGAAGATGAGAAGATGTGAAGATGAGAAGATGTGAAGATGAGAAGATGTGAAGATGAGAAGATGCTTGACAGACCCCCACTATTGGAAGAACCCTGCGCTCAGACGCTCTCGGGAAAAAGAACCAAGCAAGCGAAGCCAAGATTCCTGGTCAAAGAAGATGACTCCAGTCATTGTGAGGATCAGGTGGATTAGGCCAAATGGAATCATGACCCAAAATCCTCAAGATGCAGCTGCGACTGTCATGTTCTATCATGTTCTGACTCTTAGAGTTGGCCAACATCCCCAGCATGCTGTCAAACCTTTTGCGTAGTGGTGATTCTTTTCGGTGGGAATGAAATTTCTAGAAAAGTAAAAACTTGTCAAATGCGGCGCATGTTTTGGACAAGCTTTCCCGAGCTGAAACATTGACCCATATCAAGGCAAGAAGCCATATCGCACCTGAATCTTCTGACAAACCATCCTTAAGATAAAGCCAAAAGTAGATGCTGTCCCGACCCTTGCAATGGACCAGCCCATCTCTCGATAATGCAGCGACAATCCAGCCCAGCAGTAGCCGTTAATGAAGCCATTCAAGGTTGGAATCAACAAACACACAGAGACATAGCGCCATGACCACGAGAGTTCTTCCAGTTCGTCATCGAAGTCATCCAGGTCATCCAAGGCTTCCTCCATAAGTGCTTGACCCACGGGGCCAAAGCCATGCGTTGCTTGAGCCCAGGGGCATTATCAAGGCGACAAGTCAAATTCTGGCAGACGAAAAAGGAAACGGATGGATGGTCTCGTTGGAATGAAGTAAATTTTGACTCACCTGACGCTGATCTCAAGCCATAATTATTAATTAATAATGATCACCACTTTTAGCTAGCGCCATGCTGTCAATTGACGTTCGATGATTTTCTGGATGCGCTGTACCGGAATCACCCAGGAGACCGATCTGTTTCTGGTTTGAATAACCCGAAATGTGGGTGCTGCGATCATCCAAAAAATGACGAAGTAAAAAAAGATTGGGAACCACAAAGGCATACTTAAAGTTCTGGTCTTCATATTTCGCTGCATATGTCGCTCTCTTTGGATGGGGCATTGAAATAATGCGCATCTCGAAGGTTTCTTGGGATTAAATTGTGCTGGCAGTCTTGGACTGCAGTGGTTCAGCGGCCACAGTTTCCTTTCATCTTGCTGAATGGCTCCTTCCCATTATGGATAGGCCATCTAAAAGCTCCCACCATCTGGAAAACAACTGACCCCAAAATAGGACCATCAGCTGGACACTAACATGAAGAGACGACACCGCGTTTGGGGATCCGCAATTCATCCAAATGCGGAAAGGCTCGAGAACATCAAGGAGTATCTGGGCGACCATGTCAGCTAGACGCGTGGCAACCTTTAAAAAAAGGAGAGTGAAAATCTACAATATATGACATAGATTAGCAAGGACGACGAGGACGACGAGGACGACGAGGAGGAGGAGGAGAGGAGGACGAGGCAGGAGGAGGCGGAGGAGGAGGAGGAGAAGGAGAAGGAGGAGGAGGAGGCAACTGACATAAAATCTAACAACCCTCACCTGGCAGGTGGGGAAATAGTAAATCCTCCACTTGCAAGAATTTCCTGAGAGTTAATTGCCGCCTGCAGATACAACCATCACGCCCCAACGAGCCGGGGGTAACGGGACAGAGGCTACACTCTCCAGCTGTCCAGCTACCCACCCCGCAGTGCTGTTCGCTGACGTGGAGAAAAAGGTCATCCTTTTTTTGATTGGTTCTATAGAGCAACTCGAAAAAGGATAGAGAAGCAATCTCCACTATGTCACAACTGCGACCCGCGATCCACAGTGTTCTCTGCCGGACCTCAACCACGACCATCCACGCCCAGTGTTCCCTGCCGGACCTCAACCACGACCATCCACGCCCAATGTTCCCTGCCGGACCTCAGCCACGACCATCCTCGCCCAGTGTTCCCTGCCGGACCTCAACCACGACCATCCACGCCCAGTGTTCCCTGCCGGACCTCAACCGCGAGGATCCACGCCAAGTGTTCCCTGCCGGACCTCATGTAGGAAGATATGGGACAAAGAATGTGCAGAAGAAAGTTAGAAAGAAGGTCAGAAAGAATGTCAGAAGATATGCCAGAAGATATGCCAGAAGATATGCCAGATAGAATGCCAGATAATATGCCAGAAGATATGCCAGATAGAATGCCAGATAGAATGGCAGAAGATTTGCCAGATAGAATGCCAGAAAATATGCCAGAAGATATGCCAGATAGATATGTCAAATAGAATGTCAGAAGATATGTCAGATAGAATGCCAGAAGATTTGCCAGTAAGAAAATGTATAAATGTCATGGTGGGGATCACACGAAGTAAAGTAATTTTTTTTCAGGCCCAGTCTCTCAGTTCCATCTTAGTTGAGGATACTTTTTGGCGAGCTCTTTTCCAGTTAATGCCCAACAGACAACTGTTATTAGACAAGATCATGATGACATCCCAAGAATGCTTGTAACAGTGCGTCAATATTTCTTCTTTCTCAAATGGTAAGCAACTGTTGGGGAGGAACAAGTCAAGTTAGACCCAAAAATTGGAGCACACCAGTCTGCAGGACCCAAAACAACGAAGGGTCGTGTCACCAACATATTCATCTGCAACGCTGCAAGATTTTCATCCTTGAACTTCGGGCCGCTCCCCCGGGGATTTTCATTGTAGCACTGGGAGAAACGGGCTTGCCTACTGGAAGTGGAAGCCCGACCACAACTGAATTTCAGTGGGTGTTTGCACAGGGCCAGTACATAAGCCCAAGCAGGACCAGCTGGCCTCACTGACCACGTTGGGCTGACGGCCAGCAGGTGTTTCAGTACAATGACACTTTGTGCGTCCAACACCCGCTGACCGCCTTTTAGACTGGAGGGGGGGAAACATTGGTGGGTCAGCGGGTGTTTCTGTACAAGGACAATGTACGTCCAACACCTGCAGACCGCCTTTTGGAGAGGAGGGGGAGAAACATTGGTGGGTCAGCGGGTGCCTCTGTACAAGGACGATGTACGTCCAACACCCGCAGACCACCTTTTGGAGAGGAGGGGGAGAAAAAAGGGCCAAAACAAGGTCTGTTTGCAAACATCCGTTCCGAGCTTTGCAAACAAAAAATCACAATTTCCCAGACCCCCAGCAAACAAAAAAAACAAAAAATCACAATTTCCCAGACCCCCCAAACCACCAACCCATACCACCACATAAGCCCAACCTGATGAAATCTAAAATGTACCAAAAAATTGTAATATCTGTCTTTCTTCTGAGAATTCACTGGGACAACTCAAGGGTTTTCCTCAACTAATTTCAGAGATTACCATTTCGCAGCATATGCTGTTGATGTATTGTCACAAACCCCAGGGCATAGTTTGCCAAGCATAGTTTGCTCAAGTTGAAGCCCACAGGCAAGACACTTTGGTCTCGTCTCGGTGAGGCACTAAATTTGTTGCATCCAAAATCGCGACAAGGAACGTCCTGTGAGCAACCGTATGACTTTCTTTTAGGTGATCCAACAGAAAATGTCATCCCCTGACATACACTGAGAATTAACCATACCAGAAGGAAAATGGGTTTGCAACTGGCTGCAGGGAGGCTACCTCTCATGATCAAGACAAACATTGGGAGGCGACCATTTTTCAAATGCCCTCAAAGGCCGTGGATGGGCTGCGCAGTGCTTGATTTCTCTACATCGTGAGGCTCACAAGGCGCTGGGAACTAAGACGCTAGAGCTAATTCAAAAAAATCACACGAACTTATGGCCTTATGGCTGCGTCTGAAAACAGGATACATCAGGATACCTCTTTCTTCGATCCAAACCACCAGTCTCACCATCCCTTGAGACGCAGCAAAATGACCCCATTTTTGTGGCGGAGAATCTACTGGTTTTGATAAGCCACACAGCCTGGGCTCTCTATGAAGGCCTGGATGTTTTTATCCTTGGCCCATGCCTTCATGTCCTGTTGCATGGTCCTAAGGACGCCAAAGGCGGAGGGGGAAGTCGCCGATAGTTTGATGCTTTTTGCACAGAAAAAACATGGAATGCCAAAATATTCCAATGAAATGGTTGGTTACTCCATTCACCCCATGAAAAACCACCGTATTCCCAAGAAGAAGGGACTTTTTGTAGACGAATAGATCCAATTGTGAGCCAAATAGCATAGAAGGAAGACCGACCACCCCTTTCCGACAATGGATCACGGTGAACAATCCATTTCATGGGTCCCTTCAAAACAAGGCTCGTTGAAAACCATGTCTATAGTTTCAGACTACCAGCAAGGTACTACTTGGATGTGCATCCCAATAGGTATCCACTCAACAATCCTGAATGTATTGTTGGAAAATACAGAGGTAAGTGGCTATGGTTTACCCGTAGTAGGGATGCAGCAAGCCTGTTATCTATGGATATTCAAAAAAAACTCACCCTCTGCTCACAGAGCTATGAAAGCCATGGCCCATACATAAATGATCTACCTAATCAACCCAAGTCACCCCATAGTCTTCAGATTTTCGCTTGTGTCGTAGTGAAAGTCCGCCAGAGTGTACCTGGTCAACTGCTGGTCTCATCATACTGGGACCCTAAGACTTTACAAAAAAGTGTCGTTTTTGTTTTTGAGCCAATGTAGGTCCAGTTTCCCTGAAATACTTGGATTCCATTGGTTTCAGCTCGGTGAAAATAGCAGTTTCAGCTCGGCTGTCTGGCTCAAAAAACAGGGGTTCCAAATGGACTCACAAAATGGCTGATGTTTGTGACAGAATGAACCTGTGACACATTTGCCAATTGATGGTCGAGTCATATCCAGATGCACCATTTATTCACGAAAGAAAACCACGATTTTCTCATGGCCGATCAAATCGATGCGCGACGTGCCATCTTTTTTCGTAATGTCCTGCTGCCAATCTCTGATCATCCTTGACTGACGCTTTTGATACCCAGCTAGCCAGCGTATATCATCATATATCTATTCTAGTCCCGAGAATTCAGTAACATTCCCCAGTAGTGGCTGATATCATTGCATTATCATGGGTATATTATGGCTATAGTGGTATAGTGGTATGTCCCCAAAAAAAATGTCACTGGGGACATTATCCCCTCGGGACCATATAGGGTGGAAAATTTAAGATGGGTATATTCTGGTTATATAGTGGTATCTCCGTGTTTGGTTTGTGAAATACACCAATTGTCCAACCCCAAAACTAGTGGGTAAACCTCCAAATATAATGCCAACCCGGAAAAAATAATCTCTCTCAATGAATTGAGGGAGCAAACCCCAAAGTAGTCAGAACTTACCAATCAAATTGCTATTTAAATTACTACAGTAAATGCAAAAATCATAATTTATAGTAAATTAAATATACCCTCTGGTAATCAAACATGGCAAGTCCAAATCCCCGACCTAAATGGGGGTCTGATTCGGAAATTCAACTATCAAACTTGGAGATGTGCATTTTCCATATTGACATCGGCTGGTAAGTATCCAAATAGTACATCAATTCTGATAATTACCATCAATTCAATGGAAACATCAATTAGATGTACATCAGATGGTAAGTAGATTGTTAAACCATCATCTACATGGAATTTTCTTAAAACATGCACTACTTCATCCTGGGGAAATCCCCAACCAGTACCCCAAATCCCACTGGGATCCACTGATCCAAGGATTCCAAGGATTCCAACCGAGCATCGAGGGCCAAATCTCACCCTTCACGTTCTGGTAGTCCGTATAGGCCACTTTGCTGTTTCCGTTCCTCAAAAAATTGGTCCCCCAGCTGGGCTGGGAAGCTGGGACCCATGTTTTTTACTGATCCATTTTACGCAGGGAATGGATGGCTTGGGGAATGGGATGATTATATATTATTATTACTGGAAAATTGTGGATCATTCCCTCATTCTCTGCTAAGCACCAGTAAGAAAAGTGGAAGAAAAGAAGAAAACTCGCAAAGTCGCCATTTTCAAACGCTCAAAATGTGCAAAATCAATTGGGAAAAGAATATGCCAAAACCTGGCAACACATCGTGCTTTCAACAACTAAAGACTGAGAAAAAGATTTTAAAAAAAGTGGTAAGATGGTGATAGCACCTACTCATGGGGGTAGCGTGGTAACTTACTGAGTCCACAATCCTGCCTTGACACAGCAAAAAGTGGGAAAATCACTCAAATCCAGATCTGTCGCAAGCGGAAAGCTTTGGGTATTTGGCTATCAGGATCTGCATTTTGAGATGTTACTGATAAAATCACAGAGGATCATATTCTTAGGGCAACCTTGGCATCGAAACCCTGCAATTCGTTGGTTTTCGCACTAAAATCCCTGAGATTGATGTTCTTCCCAAAGAACATACTGGCAAAAATCGGTTTTAATCTGCATCATCCATCCCGAAATCTCCTCAGGAAAACGTCGATTTACACGACTCCAAGCTTCCATACCGCCGGTGCATATTCACTGCTTGTAAATTTGCCGCCTGGCTTGGCATCTTGGCATCGGGAAGTAGTGGGCCGTCTGGCTGCTACCATTGGTATCACACCTTTCCAGCAATTTGCTGTCCCGAACTTGCTGCCCATGAATAGCATGATCATTGACCTAGCTGTACTCATGGTAATTGGTCAATGATCATCATGGTTACTATAGCATGGTAATATTCATGGTAATAGATTGGTGACTTGAAAAATAGCGAACTCTTTTTTAGTGCCTGGTTGGTTGAAAATATTCATCTGCCTGTCTCGTTTCGAATGCCAGGTTGGATTGGCCGCGGACTGTCCTTGATTTTGGGCTTTGACTGAAAATAGGGAACCCCAAATTCTGGAAAAATCCCACAAATCGGATGGTCATTGATTGGCATAGCAATATTAGCCCCATTTTCACACAAAGCCAGGTTTGATACGTCGACGTGACGTCGGCCTCCATACATCTGTGGGCTCACGTAGTTCACCGCTGGTGGAATCTATGGGATCTCTCTGTTTTAGGGGCCCCTTTTCGGATGGGAATCTGCTTGATGAAATCATCGTCGAAAATGTCTCTCTGAAATGGGAAGATAGGAACTAGCCATATTGGGATTGATACTTAAATATACATATAAGAATATATAAGATATACATATACACAGAAATATGGTGGTACGGGTACGCATCAAAGATGAGAATGGCTTGCCTAGAGTTACAGTTTGCAGTGCAAATCTGGTGTTTTTCTCCTTGTGATCTCATGCGTTTGCTGCTCAGAAAGTCGATAAAACAAGGCTCAGATCATTTCTACCAGTTAAAAAAACACATACCCTCTGGTTATTTAACATAGCCATGGAAAATGGCCCTTTAGTTCGATGGTTTACCTATTAAAAAATGGCCCATTTATAGATGTTAGTCATAACCAGATGGTATCTCTCAGACGTTGCGTTTCAAAAGTTTCTGTCACCCCCAGGCCCCGTGTTGCTCCAAGTGGCGCAGTGTTCACGATCTCAGCAGAGTTGTCCATGCAGTAGGGCATCTGATAGGACCAGCTTACAGCCACACCTTTTCCAAGCGCCTGGATCATCCGGGGTCATCATCTGGTGTTTCTAAGGACTAATGAGATGCTAGTTATCTATGGTATGGTATCTATCCAGTTATCTATGGTATGATAGTTATTGGGCTGAGCTATCTATTCATTACCAGTGCTATGGTATGTATGATAGTTACAGTCAGATTCAGACCAATCCAGGACCAATAAAAATGACTAAAATCATGACAAATCAACTACGCATGTATAGCAACCCAAAAAAAAAACATATAAAAGTATTTAATTGCTACTTAAAAGACCTGGTAAATGACTGTTCTATCTTTTTTGGGGATTACTATCTATCTATATATCACTTGGTATCAGCCAGTGGCTGACATCTCGCCCGGTGCCTGGACCGCTTTGTATGCTTGCCTCGGAGATGCACGCTCAGCGTTCATGGGATGGTTTCCTGTAGCAATCCTGGCATGAGATATCCAAGATATCTATATCTATATAATATGTACATATATATATATATACAGAAAAAATATGCCAATATCATATTTTCACAACACCCTCTGAAGATAGGGAAGCCCGATGAATAGATCCAATACTAAACCCTTTCAGCCATGGATGTTTAGAAAACCGCTTGGTGAATTCAGCCATCAACCCATTGATTCAACCAATCGATTCATGAAAAACCACGTATCCCGGATATCCCAAAAAACTCATCAATTGGGGATCGATTCAATCCTCCAAATTATCCCCACGCTTTTTATTTTTGTTCTTTCCATGTTTTTTCCCCATGTTCCCCATCCCACCGTCGCCGTCGCGCCACACGAACATGTCCGCTGAGGGTGACGTGCCGTAGTCAGTGCCGCTGCTGGCACCACATGCCGAAGACCGGCCGGCGGCGATGGCAGCCCTACAGCCGCCACTATTGGTCTCCAGATCGAACATGACACCTCGATTCGCCGATGGCGGCACGGTGAATTTTGGGAAACGATAGTTGGGAGATGTGTTCTCCAAACATGGTGGTTTTTTAAGTCATGTGGCTACCCCCAGTCATCATCCAGCTATTAGATTGGGATGTGCCATGAAATAAACCATGCAGCTATTGGGGTACCATCTATCAGTTGATCGATCATCTCACCAGATCAAGTCTGGAAAATCATCTTCCAACCCCCCTACAGTAGCAGGGCCTATTTAAATTAAAGATGTTCATTTTGGGGGAAGTGTATATGTTTTACTCTCTGGTAATCTAAGCTGGAAAATCTGAAAGATTGCCATGGGCGAAAAAAGGGCCCAGGGCGTCTAAGCCTGGCTGACTTAGGGATCCAGTCCCGATTCAATAAGGACATGAATCTAAACAAATCATAGTAGAGGGAAAAAACAAACAGATTCATGTCCTGTGATTATCATATCAGATTATGATTCATTATATTGTTATAACAAATCATAACAAATCCATTATATTAATACAATAATCTGATATACTCTGATATGGATGGCGAAGAACAAAAGGACAGTGGAACTTGGAACCAACAAAATTGTAAGGGATGAACCTATCATACAAAATCATATACACTGGCCAAAAAAAGTTGGTGAACGCTTGAAGGGTAACAAGGCTCCTATAAAAGGCTCCCAGCACGCACGCAGCAGTTTTCTATGTTGGCGCTGAACACTGGGTTTGGTCGCAACTTTGGTCTCAACTAGGTCCAAAGTGTCTGTTTGATGGCACAGCCACCCAGCCCAAAACTATGAAAGTCATTTCTGATTAGCACTCCCTTACGGTTATACTGCAAATAACGCCCGGGCAAACCAAGGAAACAAGGAAGAATGTGGCACAAGAAAAAAAGACTTTTGACATCTCCGTCATGTGGCATCTCTTTCTTTTGCTATCTCTTGTTCCCTTGTCCTTCTCGTCTCTTTCTCCTCTCATCCCTTTTTCTTGATGCCTCTTTCTCTCGACATCTCTGTCTCTTTTCATCTCTTGCTCTTGGCATCTATCTCTTTCTCATTCTTTCTCTTCAGTTCTCTCTTTTTGGGCATCTCTTTCTTGTGGCATCCCCTCCTTTTGACGCCTTTCTCCTGCCATCACTTTTTCATGTCTCTTTGCATTGAAACCTTTTCCATCCTTTTCCTCTTCACTTGAGAGCAGGCGGAGGCGGACGAAAGGTAGTGTAGTGGGAGAGGAGTGGTGTCAAAATGCTGCGCCCCTAAGATGATACACCAAAAACGTTTTTGCGCAGTCTAAGATGATTTTATCCAGAGCATGACTGCATGATACGGTGTCTTGTGCAGCGTGAAATGATGCACGAAAAGGGGTTTATTTAAAACCCCTTTTTAAGACCCCTTGCAGCAACTGTTATTGAGGCTGAAGCATACCAATTATGCTGGACTACAGGGACATCTCCCTCATGGAAAGTGTGCCTCTAATGTGGGGGCCCGTGACCGCGTCACCCGTGGGAATTGAACCCATGACCATTTTCGGGGGGGGGGGGGGCCCCCCCCCCCTTATAATTGATATCCAATACATAACGGCGAGAATTCCTTGAATTCCGTGGGCTGGCCCCCCAATACCCCCTAAGCTTGTGCTGAAGCACGGAGAACTCAGGTAGCTGACGCTACCTTTCGTGACATCTATTTTTTTTCTCTTTCTCTTCATTACTTTCTATCTCTTTCACATGTTTGCTATTTTTTGCTCATCTCTTTCCCTTGACATCTCAGCAGCAACACGCAAATCACCTTGACGCAGCAATTGCCACACAGCAAATCGAGTTCCCAAAACTGGATCTCCGCACCAACGCAGCCACAGGATAATTTTGAAGCCTTTTTTCCGCGTTCAAAGCCTCCAAAATGAACCAAAAACTTGCCACCGCACCGCGCGTAAACGCAGCACTGGGCAACATTGAGGCAGGCACCGACTACTTCCGATATCTTTCCAAAATAGAATTCGTGCGAGAGCCCTTTCAAAATCTTTCAAAAAGGGTACGTTGAAGTGGGGAAAACAAAGCTGTCGGGTGAGGGGCCCTCCAAAAATTGCAAGCTGAAGTTGTGAAAACGAAGCGTCGCGTGAGACCTCGTCCAGAAGGAAAGTGTAAGTTGACTCCGCTCTCCTCTGCTCTACTTTACTTTTTCCTAATCGAAGGAAGTTTAGAAGTCAAACTTCCGACAATATGGACAAATGAAAAGCAGAGCAGGGCAGAGGCAGAGAGAAGAGAAAGATCAGAAGAGAGAAGAGTAGAAGAGAAAGAGTAAGAAGAAAGAAGATGGAGATGCGCGAAAAGGTAGGAAAGTCGCGATTCACTGTGTTTTTCCAATGATTTGTGGCTCCGGAGGGTCGAAAAGTAGGCTCGCTAAAGCGGCGGGTGCGGAGCCAGCTGCCAGAGGAGAGATGAAAAATTGCACGCCGTTGTGGCGCGAAGCACATTTCCAAGTGAAAATGTACAAAACACACCATTGTCGGACCACTTTTGGAAGTTGCAATGTCGAAAAAGTGCACGCCGTTGTGGCGCGAAGCACATTTCCAAGTCAAAATGTACAAAACACACCAGCTTCGGACCACTTTCGGTAGTTGAGATGTTGAAAAAGTGCACGCCGTTGTGGCGCGAAGCACATCTTGAAGTCAAAATGTACAAAACACCTCAGCGTCGGACCACTTTTGGAAGTTGAGATGTCGAAAAAGTGCACGCCGTTGTGGCGCGAAGCACATTTCGAAGTCAAAATGTACAAAACACTAGGGGTTCGGACCACTTTTGGAAGTTCAGATCTCGAAAAAGTGCACGCCGTTGTGGCGCGAAGCACATTTCGAAGTCAAAATGTTAAAAACACAAGGGGTTCGGACCATTTTTGGAGGTTCAGATGTCGCTTCGCTTCATTACACTACACTACATTACACTACAACTACAACTTCAACTACACAACTACACTCCACTACACTCCACTACACTACACTACACTAAATTACACTACACTACTGACACTACACTACATTACACTACACTACACTCCACTACACTACACTACATTACAGTACACTACATTACACTGAATGACACTGCACCACCCATAGACAGGTAGACAGATAGACAGATAGATAGATAGATAGACAGATAGACAGGTAGACAGCTAGACGGATAGACAGATGAAAGAGAGAGAGAGAGAGATAGATAGATAGATAGATAGACAGACAGATAGATAGATAGATAGACACATAGAAGATAGATAGGTAGGTAGGTAGATAGTCAGAGACAGAGAGAAAGAGAGGAGACCTCAAGCACCTTTCGGTCCATCAGTGGATTCGCTCTGCCATCCTTGATTCACAACGACCAATCTCTCCTATAGGTTTCCTATTTTTGAAACTTCCGCCACCGCCTTGTGCGGTACTACTGGTATACTCTACCCTCCTTTACTCCTCTCTTCTCTACGGTACCCTACTCTTCTCTACTCTGCTGAGCTGTACTCCTCTGCTCTGCTCTTCTTGAATCTCTGCAATACGGAAGTTTCTCTCCTGAACTTACTGTGATAGTAGCTAATGCTGATATTTCTACAAAAGGTCGTACCGACACTGATCATGAAAGTAACAACGAAATGAATCAGGCCCAGCGGGATCATGACCCAAAATCCTCAAGCCACGATCCCAGTGGACAACTTCTCTGGCTCCATGTCACATGTTATGAAAGATCTTGCATTGTGCCTTTGATGGGGAAATCTTTTCTGAAATTATTTGGTCAAATCCGGCGCCGGCGTTTTGGACAAGCTTTCCCCTTTTGCGAAAAAAACATGGACCCATATCAAGGCAAGAAGCCATATCGCACCTAAATGGACCAGCCCATCTCTCGATAATGCAGCGACAATCCAGCCCAGCAGTAGCCGTTAATGGAGCCATTCAAGGTTGGTTGGAATCAACAAACACAGAAAGACGAAAAAAACGCCATGACCACGAGAGATCTTCCACTTCGTCATCGGTTCGTCATCCAAGTCAATTATAAAAAGTGCCCCATCAGGCGGGCCCCAAGACCATTCAATTGCTGGAGCCAGAGACAGGAAACAGGGTTGAGGATGAGGGATTTTCGATCGAAGCTCTTCAATTCTGCACCGGTAGAAAGTGGTTGATTGGTAGGAAATTTAAAGGTTCTACTACCCTTGATATATGGGAGATTATCATCATCCATTGTGGAAATCCCCATGAACCAACCATTGTTTGGTGGATTTTCCCACTCGATTTTGGTTCTGCCTTTGTCGTTTTGTTTCTGTTTGGTCCAGAATTCTGGCGGTACTCCAGTTCGTGACAATCCCCGTCACGAATCCTGGGGTTGTGTCTTGCCATTCACCGGTGTGTCCGAAAATGGGGAACAGTCTTCATGCCGTGGAATTTTCAACCAAGTACAAGATGATTTTTCGCAGGCGGGACGTTTTTCCAAGCCGCAGCTGGCCTTTGTAATGGCCGTCAAGTCGACACAGAGGCCCGGTCGCCCCAACTATGGTTGGGGAGGTCCAAACCAAAAAGGGTAAGTGACGGTAAGTTGGGGCAGCCAGTGACGCGCGAGTTTTGTGCAACAAAACATGTGAAAACACAGGTGAATATCAATGTCATTGATATTGAACCAAGAAACTTGACCCCAAAATCACTTGCATATATCACTTACATAGGAGTTTCTCTGAAAATATGGTACCTCTAAATCCACTGGTTAGTCATCATTTTCCGCATTCAATGGCCACTTCAACCAGTATATTTTCAGAAGTGGGGTTCTCCCACTTCATCCAGGCAGCCCCTTCAGGGCAGCCCAAAAAAGGCCCGGTTCAATCAAGACCGACTTGCGATCTGCATCTTGGATTCCCCCACGCCAGTTTTTCGGGTTTTTGATCCATCAAGGAACATGATGATTTTTCACAGGCGGGACGTATTTCCAAGCCGCAGCTGGCCTTTGTAATGGCCGTCAAGTCGACACAGAGGTCGGGTCGCCGCAACTAAGTAACTATCGTTGGGGAGGTCCAAACCAAAAAGGATAAGTGACGGCAAGTTGGGGCAGCCAGTGACGCGTGAGTTTTGTGCAACAAAACATGTGAAAACACAGGTGAATATCAATGTCAGTGATATTGAACCAAGAAATTTGACCCCAAAATCACTTGCATATATCACTTACATAGGAGTTTCTCTGAAAATATGGTACCTCTAAATCCATTGGTTTGTCATCATTTTCCGCATTCAATGGCCGTTTTAACCAGTATATTTTCAGACAGACCCATTTCGTTGTGGTTCTCCCACTTCATCCAGGCAGCCCCTTCAGGGCAGCTCAAGAAAGGCCCGGCTCAATCACGGACGGGTTTGGTAGCTGTTGCCTGAGGTTTTTGACCCATGGATTGGCTGGAAAATTCATGGGATTAATCAATCCATGTATGTTTGGGTGAAACACCATGGTCAATCCAGTAAGATCGATCACTGAAATTTTACAGACCGTGTTTTACCCCAACAAAAATTGGGGGTATCCAGGGGGGCCATGGAGATTCCCACCCTGAACTGAGATGTTCTAACCGCAAAAACGCAGCGGCACTCAGAGAGGGTTGATGTTGGTTATGTTTCCATTCTGTCAAAAAAAACAACCACTGGCTTCACATCTCAAAATAAACATAGCTTATAAAATATACTCGTTTGTCTCATTCAAACTGGCGCCCTGGACAGGCGCGCTCATCCTTTCTGGCTGGCACACATCGGTTTGTTTCTTGTAGTGGGAAAAGCCTGACTTAGCAGGCGCCGCATCAAAACATGCAGAACATAGATCTCCTCAAACTCCCACCGAAAGAGAAAGATGGTTGGTGGCGGGGTGGTGGACGGTTTCACTTGGTCACAAACTTTGGATCACAAGTGTTCACATTCACGCATGATTCCACCTTCATTCATTTGTCTCATTCAAACTGGTGCCCTGGACGGGCGCGCTCATTTTCTGGCCGTTCGGGCATTGCATGCTTCAGGTCTCCATCCAAATAAAGAGGGAAGCTTGACGACAATCTTGCGCATGTGGGTAGGAATGTTAACCAAATCGCCAGCGACATTTTGTGTGACAGGTTTGCCAAAGCCGAGTTGAACAAGATGTCGTCAACGAAGATGCTTTTTTCGGTTCCATCATCTTCTCTCACTTGAAAGGTGCATGTCAGCTCCTGCACAGGATAGCCATGTAGTCCCAATTCTTGCGGGTGCTGCGTGCACAACATGGCAGTCGGAGCTTGGGTGTACCCAATTTGCCGAAGCAAATCAGGAATGCATTGTTTTGGTGCACTGCAAATTCCTCCCGCACTGGTCATTTCAGAATGATGCAACACAGGCGACTTCCACTCTGCAGGGACTACCCGTGGCTCCAGTCTGCGCTTTGCTGCTTCTGGCATAGCGTCTTTGATGGCATTGCGAAACATCTCTTCTTGAATTTCCGGTGAGAGAATGGCATCTGCTTGAGTTTGTTGTCCTTTGGTCTTGGTCTTTCCTCTCCCTTTGGAGGAGGAGGCTGCAAATTGGCTATAAGTGTTTCCATTTCTCGCATGCATCAAGCGATTTCGGGCACGTCTCGAAATGGCCCATTGTGGGGGAAAACAAAATGACATATTGCGGGTGATTCCTTTGACCTGTCTCGAGAGAAAACGACGAATCTGCTCTTTGTCTTGCTTGCTACAAAAGGGGTGGACATGTTCCAAAAAGGGAGAGCGACCATCAGCCAAACAAGCAGAAATTGCTTGCCAAACCTTTGCGAACGCTTCTTGTCAAATTGACGTCTGGCATGTTTGCGTCTATGCAGTCTGCATCGTCGCTTCTTGACAAACTGACATTGCAAAAATATGTATCTCTTGTTTGAAAATATGGCAAGCAAACGATCTGCCAAAAATTGGCAACAAACCTGGATCAATTGAAGGAGCAAAGAAAAGACCGAAATCTGACAGATGTCCTTGAAATTTGCGTGAAGCGGTAAATCAACTTTGTGATCGCCCACGGGCATAGCAGGACAAATGAATCCACATAGCAGTGAAATGAAAAAGCAAATCCATGGCAACGTGTTTGACACAGTGTGTGCAAAGTGCTCGACACAACACACGCGCTGACTCGCCACTGTACATGCACTCACCTCCGGAACGCATGTAGGCATGCACAGACGAGGCGCCGGAGTTTCCTCCGGGTCGAAGAAACCCTTTGCTTTGCCCACAACCTCTGATCACCTCCGCCTCCGACCCGTCGCTGCTGGCATCTTCCTCCTCCTCGACTCCTCGATGCCAGAAAACCAAAAAGATGGATTAGGCTTGAAAAATCCAGATCTTCGGCTACAGGGGTCTTCCGAACTGCTGCTGGCTTCACTAAGGGGCACTCTGCCTGGCTGCTGACCACTTCGCCTCCTCCGAGGCTCTCCCACATCCCGCTGCATGCCGCGGCACTTGGCAAATCAAGTGGCTTCTTCCACCCACTAGGAAGCTGAGCAGTGACAACCCCAGCTGGAACACTCAAAAAGCTAAGGCTATCACTTCCGGTCTGGCTGGGAACAGTATGAGCATTGGGGACACCCTCAAAATCACCAGGCTGGCCACTCAACACCACAGTTTCTGAAGTGACTTCTACCACTCGACCAGCAACTCGTCGAGAACCTTCACTATTCTTGACCAAGCAGTACCGAATAGCTCCTACTTTAACCATGGCAGGAACGGATGAGCTCAACTATTTTATTTTAGGGGTAGGTCACAAAGTTTGGATCACAAGTGCTCACAGTCACACATGAATCCACCTTCATTTTAACTAAAAATGATAGATCAAAATTAGTCCCTGCGACGGTTTTCATTCATTAATCCCCTGAAGTATCGCCATCGAATGGTTGGTTTGATCCTCAGATGTTCAAACGTCAATCTTCACATCCAAATCCAATCCGCATCTGGGCAGATTCCTACAATTCACAAATGATGAAAAACAGGGTTGCTCCCAACACCCCAGATAAAATAACACATGCTCCCCCTTGTGGCAATAAGTTTAGCTACAGTATAGGTTGGAGCAACCCCCTCGATTCTCATTTACCTGGCAAGGTCGTCCAGATCGGAAAAATCCACCTGGATGTGTTGACGGTTAGTTCACGTTAGTTCCCTATTCACATCCCATTGCAGTGTTTTCCCGCATTTTTGCATCGTCGCTCCAATTTACCCGGATACATCAACATCAACCCCCATCATGGCTGGTGAAAGCCACATTTCTTAAGGTTAAAATCATCCATCCATCCACCATCCACCATCCACCATCCCCCGTTGCATCCGTTGCATCCACGTGACCTACACAGAGACGCGCTTGATCCCCTTGTGCCGCGCGCGTTGTTCCTCGGCGCTTTCCATGTTCAGCAGCCCCACGCGGTAGGCGAAGAAGGCGCTGAAGACCACCAAGGTCGTAGCGGAGACGCTGCCGGCCACCAGGAAGGGAGCCACAGGCGACACCTGGGGCGATTTGGTGGAGTCGGGATGGGAGTGGTGTAAGAATGGCAGTTCAAGAATGGTGAAAAATGATAGTGACAATACCAGTAGAATAACTTTTTTTGAGGGGAAGGTGATGCGATAATGGAGATGTGGGGATAATTTCCAAACCAGGCATGCGAGTTAAAAAGTTGAGTTGCTGCGCCAAGATTGCTTTTCATGTGTTGTTGTGCGCTCGTATTATGGCGCTTTGCAATCCAGCAGTTGCTCAGGGCAGTATAATTTTGCTGCGTCACTGTCAAGGTGTTCTGTCCGGGAGAAAGAAGATGTCAAGAGAAAGAGAGGTCAACAAAGAATCTAAAAGAAAAGATAGCAAGAGAAAGAGATGTCAAGTGAACGGGATGTCAAGGGAAAGAGATGTCCAGAGAAAGAGTCAAGAGCGAGAGATGTCAAGAGATTTAAAGAGAAACAGAGTTCAAGAGGAGGAAATTCATAATAAAGTGATTTCGGAAGAGAGTTCGGCAGCAAGAACAAGACATTTCCACGTGCCCTGCCCGACAAAGTTCAATGTTGCTTCCAAATTGAGACTTAAGCTATGCGGGTCCCAAAAAATGCCAACTATGGGAAGAATGATGATGATAGCCCCGTTTGGTCTCAGATGGTTTTCCAGCCGCCTCGGAATAGATCAAAGGGCCCACAACGCTGGAGAAACAAGCCCCAGCGTTGTGGGCAGTCTTGCACCAGACCTGCATCGTAAGGAGAACTCCGTTGTCGCCCAAGGAGTAGAAAAGGCTTAAGTCGGTGGTGAATTTCAAACTGTAAACGAAGAGGGAACCCATCAGCACTTGCGCTGTAACCGCTGCCACCAGCCAGGGGCTTGCCATCGCCAAATTGCAGAGTGCCCTTAGTGGCCGGAGGGTCGGAAGAGAAACGTGAGCAAAAATGCTTGACATTGCAGCAATCTGGGATACTTGGAGCCAATCCGTTTTGTGCCCGTCCCCTCACCAACGACGGGGTCAAAAAGCTTACAAAAGACATGCCATCTGTCTCAGCATCCAAAACAGCACCAACCAGGAGAGATTGTAGGGCTGCATGAAAATGCGGCGACAGAATCCCACTTCTGATGTGCCATCATTGGTACCACTTGGAAGGACTCTCAGCAGAAGAGCCGCCGACAAATCTCCGGCCGATTGAGCCAAACCGATAGCCATCGCAGAGTTCCATCCGTGGTACTCCTCGAAGAAAAGGGCAAATATCCCAACCTCCATGATGTTGCAAACCTGGTGGGCGATTGAGCTGCTGCACCCAACCCTCCTAGAGATATTGCAATAGTCAATTCGGTGTTTTCGTCACGAGTAAAGACGCAAAGTGTGGAAAACTTAGGAGAAATGAAAGCCAGAAAACCGTGTTGTTAAAGCAGCAAAGGCTTATCATCAAAACTGGAAGAATGGTATCTTTCGGTATGCTCTTTGCTTCTGCTTCCTCCGCTGTCTGATGCGACAGCCCAGATCTTCGCCGCGCTACTCGCGTTTCCAGCAAACTCATGCCTGTCCTCAGCGACTCACCTGACGGAACTGAGCCCCAGATTCCTCCATTTGGGTTGCCCACAGGGTACACCCTAAATCTATTGTTATTTTTGGTCTTGAAAATTCTAGTTTCATATATTTTCCAAACCACTTCTGGTTGAAAATGGCTATGCTCTTCACCATGCCAAAATGTGATTTCCCGACCGGTATTATAGACTCGTCCCGACGACGACGTTCTAGAACTGCGGCCGGTATGATAGACTCGTCCCGACGACGCTCCAGAATGGCGGCCGCTCACGAGGTCAACCGATAACAACGCAGGAGTTCGCCTCGGCAAAGGTTTGGCTTCGCCAAGTGAAAATCCCAATAGACCAAGAGTGCGCAACCAATTTTCCAATTTGTCATGTACATGTGTACATACAACACATATATATCTATATAGATAGTATACGTAGATACATATACTCTACGCATATTCTACGGGTACATATACGTATACCTGTGATGTATGTATGTATGTATGTATGTCTGTCTGTCTGTCTGTCTGTCTGTCTGTCTGTCTGTATGTATGTATGTATGTATGTATGTATGTATGTGTGTATGTATCTATGTATCTATGTATCTATGTATCTATGTATCTATGTATCTATGTATCTATGTATCTATGTATCTATGTATCTATGTATCTATGTATCTATATCTATGTATCTATGTATCTATGTATCTATGTATCTATGTATCTATGTATCTATGTATCTATGTATCTATGTATCTATGTATGTATGTATGTATGCATGTTTGTATGTATGCATGTAAATGCATGTACCTATGTATCTATGTATCTATGTATGTTTGTATGTTTGTATGTATGTATGTATGTATGTGTGTATGTGTGTATGTGTGTATCTATGTATGTTTGGTTGTTTGTATGTTTGTATGTATGTATGTATGCATGTATGCATCTATGCATCTATGCATCAATGCATCGATGCATCTATCCTCTATGCATCTATCTATCTATCTATCTATCCATCTATCTATCTATCTATGTATCTATGTATCTATGTGTCTATGTATCTATGTGCTCATGTGTCTATGTGTCTATGTGTCTTTCCATCTTTCCATCTGTCCATCTATCCATCTATCCATCTACCCATCTATCCATCTATCCATCTTTCCATCTATACATCTATCTATCTATGTCTGTATGCATGGATGGATGTATGGATCGATGTCTGTATGCGTGTGTATGTGTGTATGTGTGTATGTGTGTATGTATGTATGTATGCATGCATGCATGCATGCATGTATGTATGTATGTATGTATTCATTGCATGTATGTATGTATGTTTGTATGTGTATATATACATATATATGTATATGTATGCATGTGTATGTATATATATATATATGTATGTATGTATCCCCAAGTGCCAATTACCTATTCCTTTCCTGACCTAAGGATGTTCTTCATTCCACTCTTATACACACTGCTACATCACAAGCCCGCCCTGCAAAATCATCAGGTGAAACAGTCAAATTAGTACTTCTGATCCTTTTCTCGCTGTCCAAGCCACTTCTCCTCACAAGAAGTGAGCACTTGCCCTGGCAGATTCTCCAAATCTTCCAATGGCACTGAAATGAAACTGAAATGGAACTCACCTAGTGATAAGCTAGGGAAACCATGTGTCTCTATTGGTTTGCTGGAGGGTACTCAAAAAGTGCCGCGAAAAAAAAAAAACAGCTATAAATTCCTTACAATGCGCGGGAACAATCCTGATTCTTAGCGAAATCCGCAAAAATCACCATAAATCCATATAAATTTCCCATTGCTCATGGTGAAATCCTTAAAAAAACAGCAGCTGTTGTCCATTTTCACGTTTTTTTTTGGCCTGGCCTGTTGGATTGGTGCCGCCGCTCCTGAAACTAGATCGGTCCGGGCGTTGAAGTTCACCTCTGATGTGGCGGACTCTGGGGACATCATGGGGTATGTGTCCACACTGAGGGGTTCTTACAGAAAGTGTTAAGGCCGGGACTAGATCAGGGCACACTCTTCGGGGCGCGGCATCTTTGCTGTAAATTCTCGCATAAAAGTGGTTTTGTGCGATATCCATGTGCATTTCAACTGCGCAGGCTCGCACAAAGTGAGGGTCGCGGTTTTGGTTCGATCTTGGGCCGGTTTTTTCCTTGAGAATTCTCGCAAGACGTCACATGAGATGGGCATGTCGACCGCGCAGGCTTGCACAAAGGGTGCGTCCCGATCTTGGGGGCGTGGCATTTTTCCTGTAAATTCTCGAACAAATTTGCTTTTGTGAGATGTCCATGCGCATTTCGACTGCGCACGCTCGCACAAAGTCTGCACCGCGGGGTTCTCAAGCTCTGGGCCTGCGGCATTTTCATTGTAAATGCTGGCATGAACGGGCTCTTGTGGAGATCCAGCCAACTTCCTCTCTAAGAGGTCCTTGCATGATCCTGTTCAGGTCCTTAACAGAAGATCTTGTGGAGATCCTGGTGAAATCCTCTCTAAGAGGTCCTTGCACGAGGAGCTTACAGATGACAGGCTCATTGGGGGGTTCTTGTATCAAGATCTTGTGAGATCCGCTCCGGAGAAGGTCCTTGTAGGACGATCTTGTGAAATTCTCTGGCGGGCCCTGGCGTGAACATCGTGCCGGAGGTGACCAGAGGCGTTTGCATGATCTTGTAAATGTCCTTGTGAGAGCTCTTGAAAAGGTCCTTGTGAAATCCTCTCGGTATCCTTACATGATCTAGTTCAAATCCTTGTGAGAAGATCGTGTGGAAATCCTGTTGAAATCCTCTCAAGAGGTCCTTGCACTGAGATCTTGGAGATCCTCTGCATTGGTGCTTGTATGAAAGCTCTTCTGGGGTGCTCAAAGGAAGCTCTTGTATAAAGATCTTGTGAGCTCCTACAGAAGGTCCTGCTGCTGCAACTGCGATCATGTCTAACCTCATCTGTGACTGTTCCATAGCTTGTGTCTGGCACATTGACTTCCTACCCCCCACACTGTTTGGGGCCTCTTGCCGGTGTATTTGTTTGACTCTTATTGGGTACCGATATTGGTATAAATATATATATATATGGGAAAATTATAATCAAAGGAAGTTGGAAAGCAATCTTCCGAGTTACGGATGACTTTTACCTGTAACAATACACTCAATGAAGGGTGGCGTGAGACTTGACATTACATAAGAATACATTCAATGAAGGGTGGTGTGAGACTGTGGTGTGAGACTTTACATCACATAAGAATACACTCAATGAAGGGTTGCGTGAGACTGTGGTGTGAGACTTGACATCACATACCAATACACTCAATGAAGGGTGGTGTGAGACGGTGGTGTGAGACTTGACATCACAGAACAATACACTCAATGAAGGGCGGTGTGAGACTGTGGTGTGAGACTTTACATCACATAACAATACACCCGTGTAATGGCTGTATGATTGTTGTAATCTGGTGTTGCCATGTGTGTAGAGATTTGCAGGTTTGCTACGTGATGCTGCGAAACGTATTGTAATGGCTGCATGAATGTTGCTTGGGCTTTGTTTTGGGGAGGAAGCCGGAGCACGAAACCTTGTATTTTTCCGTGTAAAGTGGCTGCAGGCGGCGATGAAAGGTACCTACTGTGTGCGGCGGGTGCAGCTGGGGTCGTTCCGGACGCAATGGGTTCCTCCTCTGTGTGCTGCAACGAGTGGTTGTTCCTGAGTGCGTAGTTCTATTCGTTTCTTGAACCTGTGGTTGCAGATCGCATTGGAATGGCTGCATGATCGTTGTTCTCTGGTGTTGACATGTGTGTAGAGAGATGCCGGGTTGCTACGTCATGCTGCGAAACGTATTGTAATGGCTGCATGAATGTTGCATGGGCTTTGTTTGGGGGAGGAAGCCGAACAACGAAACCTTGCATTTTTCCGTGTAAAGTGGCCGCAGGCGGCGATGAAAGGTACCTCCTGTTTGCGGCGGGTGCGGCTGGGGTCGTTCCGGACGTAATGGGTTCCTCCTCTGTATTCTGCAACGAGTGGTTGTGTCTGTGTCCGTAGTTGTATGCGTTTCTTGAATTTGTGGTTGCAGATCGCATTGGAGTGGCTGCGTCAAGGTTGCTTGGTGCCGCGGCTGCATGCGTAATACTATTGTCTTGTGCAGCTGGATCTCGTAAATCGTCTTGGAGTGGCTGCATCAAGGCTGCGAAAGTGATTTGTCAGCAGATTTTCTCGATTTTGGCGCTCGTAATTTTCCTTTTAAAAGTCCTTTTGAAAAGTGATTCAAAATCGTCGTTCCTTCACTTTGGCGTCGAGATCCGGTTTTGGAGCTGCAATTCCTGTTGTGATTATGTACAAGAAAGCTTCTCTGTGTAAAAACTTTTTTCTGTAAAAGCTTGCTGTGTGTAAAAGCTTCTCTGTGTAAAAGCTTGTTGTGTGTAAAAGCTTCTCTGTGTGTCAAAGCGTCTCTGTGTAAAAGTTTCTCTGTGTGTGTGTAAACGCTTGCCATGTGTAAAAGCACTGTGTGCAAGTGTTCTGTGTGTAAACGCTTGCTGTGTGTGAAAGCTTGCTGTGTGTAAAAGCTTCTCTGTGTAAAAGCTCTGTGTGTGTGTGTAAAAGCTTCTCTGTTTAAAAAGCTTGCTGTGTATGTAAACGCTTGCCATGTGTAAAAGAACTGTGTGTAAGTTTTCTGTGTGTAAACGCTTGCTGTGTGTGAAAGCTTGCTGTGTGTAAAAGCTTCTCTGTGTAAAAGCTTGTTGTGTGTAAAAGCTTCTGTGTGTAAAAGCTTCTCTGTTTAAAAAGCTTGCTGTGTGTGTGTAAACGCTTGCCATGTGTAAAAGCACTGTGTGCAAGTGTTCTGTGTGTAAACGCTTGCTGTGTGTAAAAGCTTGCTGTGTGTAAAAGCTTCTCTGTTTAAAAAGCTTATTGTGTGTAAAAGCTTCTCTGTTTAAAGTTCTGTGTGTAAACGCTTGCTGTGTGTGAAAGCTTGCTGTGTGTAAAAGCTTCTCTATGTAAAAGCTTGTTGTGTGTAAAAGCTTCTGTGTGTAAAAGCTTCTCTGTTCAAAAAGCTTGCTGTGTGTAAAAGCTTCTTTGCGAAAGCACTTGCTGTGTGTGAAAGTTTTCTTTGTGCAAGCTTTGTATCACAAAGTAGTACTGGGACGTACTTTGTGCAAGCTTTGTAGTACAAAGTAGTACTGGGAAGTGCATTGCGCAAGCTTCGTAGTACAAAGTAGTACTGGGAAGTACTTTTTGCAAGCTTTGTAGTACAAAGCAGTACTGGGTGCAAGCTTTGTGTAGCACAAAGTATTGCTGGGAAGTGGTTTGTGCAAGCTTTGTAGTACAAAGTAGTACTTGGAACGTGCTTTGTGCAAGCTTTGTAGTACAAAGTAGTACTGGAACGTGCTTTCTGCAAGCTTTGTAGTACGAAGCAGTACTGGGAAGTACTTTTTGCAAGCTCTGTAGTACACAGTAGTACTGGGAAGTAGTTTCTGCAAGCTTTGTAGTGCAAAGTAGTACTGGGAAGTACTTTGTGCAAGCTCTGTAGTACACAGTAGTACTGGGAAGTAGTTTCTGCAAGCTTTGTAGTGCAAAGTAGTACTGGGAAGTACTTTGTGCAAGCTTTGCAGTACAAAGTACTACTGGAACGTGCTTTGTGCAAGCTTTGTAGTACAAAGTAGTACTGGGAAGTGCTTTGTGCAAGCTTTGTAGTACAAAGTAATACTGGGAAGTGCTCTGTGCAAGCTTTGTAGTACTGGGAAGTGCTTTGTGCAAGCTTTGTAATACAAAGTATTACTGGGAAGTGCTCTGTGCAAGCTTTGTAGTACAAAGTAGTACTTGGAACGTGCTTTGTGCAAGCTTTGTAGTACAAAGTAGTACTTGGAACGTGCTTTGTGCAAGCTTTGTAGTACAAAGTAGTACTGGGAAGTGCTTTGTGCAAGCTTTGTAGTACAAAGTAGTACTGGGAAGTGCTCTGTGCAAGCTTTGTAGTACTGGGAAGTGCTTTGTGCAAGCTTTGTAATACAAAGTATTGCTGGGAAGTGCTTCGTGCAAGCTTTGTAGTACAGAGTATTTTGTAAAGGCTTTCTGTGTAAATGCATCTGTGTCCCAAGCGTCTGTGTGCAAAAGTTTCTGCGCCCAATCGTTTTTTTGTGCAAGAGACTTCTCTCTGACAGTAAGAGCTTTCTGGCGTGCAGAACAGCTGAGATGAGTTGAGGCGATCTTCGAGGAGATGAGAAAGGTTGACCAGCGCTCGGATGAGATGAAAACAGTTGAGAAGAACTTACTTAGCTGACATGTGAGAAGAGATGGGATGAGATGAGAAGAGCTGAGATGAGGTGAGAAGAGCTCACATGATTTGAGATGAGATGAAGTGTGGAGTGCGAATTGCAAGTGTGAAGTGTGAAGTGCGGGGTGTGAAGAGTGCAGTGTGAAGTGTGAAGAAAGTCTTCGCTTGGCGTTGCATTGCACCGGGGTCGCGCGCAGGTCATGTTCTTGGACAACAACACTGCAACAGCTTCGCACAAAGCACGCAAGCACGGGCCTGGCTGTCGCACGGCGCATGCAAGTTCTATAGATGAGAAAGGTCTTATAGTACATCCCTAAGGCAACTTCCGCCCCACCTCGTGCGGGTACTACTGGTATGTCACTAACCTGAAGATATGGATGATAAATAATAGAATATTAAGGATTGTTAATGGTTGTGAATCCCTTGCCCCTGTTAGCCCTTTACCCCTAACATTAAACACCCCCTAAATGGTTCCTAATATGTGCAAAATTCCGACTAAACCATGGTTTCTAGGGGGGGCTAATATTAGGGGATTACCAAATACTATAAGATATACTACGAAATACCACCCGAATATTAAAAACTACTCCAGGTGTTTATTATTAGGGGGGTTAGTATTGCGGGAAGGGATTCTATGGCAAGAATATGATGGGTTTTTTGAGGGAACTTTGAACTACCAATCATCATGGGAAATCTATTTGACTACACAAATATATGACAAATCCAGATTCTCTCGTCATCGCTGAACAAAAAAGGAGAAAGAAATAACAGAGACTCCGATAATATGGAGGTTTCCTATAATGGGGGTACCCCCAAATCATCAAGTCATTAGACCATGACTTAGCATATTTAAACAACCATGGTGACTGGGGATCCCCCATGACGTGAGAACCCCCATATTCTCACCATATTCGCCATCATTCACTAAATTTGGGTATGTTTTTTTTTCATCCTGCCTTCTGATTGATCGCTCTTGTGGCTGCTTCGTACGGTCTTCCCGTCTTTGGCTTGATAGCTCTTGTGTGCGGAGTGGTCGGAATCTGCGCGCGTTCGGTTTTCAATTTCCGGCTGCACCGGAAGATCGCTGGGAGCGCTCCTTGGATGTTGCGTGAAAGGGCTGGGGTCCTTATTCAACTTGCTTGAAAGAATCATCGCATCCCCCAGAAAAAATTGGGCCTCCAAACCTACTAAACTGCAGTTTCATTTGGGATTCTTGGCCAAATCGGTGGATTATATGACCAGCTTCTCAGGCTCCACAATGGAGAATCTCACAGATGGGCGACTCGGATTCTGATTCGAAGACCTGAAAAAATGGGCCCGCCGAGGCCGCCGAGCGGGTGATCAATCCAATCCCCAAAAATTCACTGGGTAGAATCAAGTCCCAGCGACGTCTGGGAAGTGAGCACTTGCCCTGGCAGATTCTCCAAATCTTCCAATCGCATGTCCTCCTCTGGGTGCGAACCTGCTTTGGTGGCAGGAGATGACGGCACCACGTTGACAAGAATGTCCGGGGACGCCGCTGATCTCTCCTGGAGCCCGAAAGCAATGCCATGGGCCGGGACAGAAGTCGTAGCATGTTTCAGGGACCTCCCAAGTCCCAGACCACTGCAAGATAAAATTAAAGGACCGGACAAACCCACAAGTCAACTTCTCCAAATAATCAGAAACAGTGATTGAAGCAAAACAGAGAAGGCAGGAAAGACAAAGGAGATGGTGGAGGATCGCTAATTTCAAAAAGTTGTATGTGAAAGAGTTGTGTGCGAGAAAGTTGTGTGAAAGAGTTGTGTGCGAAAGAGTTGCGTGAGAAAGAGTTGTGTGTGTGAGAAAGTTGTGTATGTGTGTGAAAGAGTTGCGTATGAGTGTGAAAGAGTTGTGTGTGTGACAAAGCTGTGTATGACAAAGCTGCATCACGTGGAAAAGCGCCGCAGGCCTCCCAAGCGACGCGGCTGAGAGCAGGTCGGGACTTTCAGCAATCACAGCAATGCGAACTGACCGGCCAGTGCTGTAAGTGCCGCGCCTACCACACAAAAGCAGCGTGGATGTCACCAAGTGCCACGCCTGCCACACAAATGGCACGTCAATGTCACGAAGGTGAGATGTGTGTGTGTGTGTGAAAGATTGTGTTGCGAAAGATTGTGTGAGACACAGTTAAGATAAGATTGTGTGTGACAAAGTTGCGTGTGACAAAGTTGTGTGAAAGAGATGTGTTGTGAAAGATTGTGTGTGTGTGTGCGTGACAAAGTTGTGTATGAAAGGTTGTGTAGTGAAAGATAATGTGTGTGTGACAAAGTTGTGTGACAAAGATGCGCACGAAAGAAGATTGTGTGTGTGTGACAAAGCTTTGGTGTGAGAGATGTGTGTGTGTGTGACAAAGCTGTGTGTGAGAGAGATGTGCATGAAAGATTGTGACATTGTGTGACAAAGATGTGTGTGTGTGTGGGAGAGATGTGTGTAAAACATTGTGTTGGGAAAGATGGTGTGTGTGTGTATGACAAAGTGGAGTGTGACAAGTGGAGTGTGACAAAGTGGAGTGTGAGAGGAGGAGGCGCGGAGGCGGAGGGATGGGATACAGAACCAAAAAAAAGAACCCCACACAAAGATGTGGGAAAAATTGTATATCTTACATATCATAAGACCATATCAACATTGTCAAAAACATGAAACCCGACCTTCTGTTCAACAGGGAGTCCTTGGAGAAGAATTCTCGCAAAGACATTCTCAATGAAGGTTCTGTCATGACGAGGATGAATAAGAGCCTGGAGTTGTTTCCAGACAACTGTTAGCATACCACTATTAGTGTTACACAGTAAATAACATCAGAAAAAAAATGTGAAATCATAGGGACCCACAACCCATCCCCAAAGGTGACCCCCGAAAAAACCATACTGAAAAGGGGGTTTGGTTGAATCCCCATGGCAGCCTCAGAAAACCAAGGGGCCCCTGACAAGCCAAATGGGCCACCGACATGCTTTGCCAGCCACCCAGATTCATAGAGCGCCCCTGCAATTGGAACCTCAGATCTGGCCAACCGCCAGGGGCCGACAGGTTAAGTGTAGAAGTTCTTTGGTCAAGAATCAAAGCCGCCTTCCAAAAAAATATGATGAATGATCAGAAATAAATTGCAAATCACAGATAAGAAATGGTGTAGAATCTTTGCCGTGCAAATCATTTCAAATACGAAGAACTACACACAGTTGCAATGAGATCGTCCACTTGGATCCTCATACCTGACGGTCTTTGTTTGCATGCGTTTGAGCCTTGCGCTTTCGCCCATGCTTTGGAACCTGAGTTTGATGGCTTGTCGTTTGTCTCTCAACTGGTCCTCCTTCGCGCTGCCTGGGCAGCCCCTCCAATCAGCAGGTCCATGGGAACAAGATGAGTTTTGGCCACTCATAGCTGCCAACTTCAAAAATAAACATCATCCAGCTAGCGCACCAAATTTCATTCCATCACTACTACATACTGCCAACACCATCCATCACCTTTTTGGTCTGTCTTGTGACCCTTGGTCACCCAGGATGTTTTTGAAAAGAGTTGGGTGTCGTTCCGGCATCGTTTTGGGTATCGGTCTGCGCGGATTCCTCTTTGCAAATCACGCGCGCGTGAGACTGAACGAATAGCCTGCAACGCAGAAAAGGCCCGGTCGCCCCAACACAGACTCTCAACGGAAAAGCGCCAATAGGTTGACGCACCATGGCGTCTTGCTGCGGTTTACCAAAGCTAGGCCAGGCAGCAAACCGAGATGCTGCATTGAATTGGCCACTCCAGCGTGCCTGCGCTGCCGGTTTCCATAATTTGAGCTACTTGGCGCCGCGTGTAAGCAACCCACCTGGTGCATGTAAAGTCAACCCACACCATGGGCAGATGCATTCATGGTGAAGTGAATCCACCCGTGTAAAGACGACCCCGCGCAAGCAAAACGCATGGGCACACCACAAAAAGCATCTTTAATTCAATAGTCAGGATCTCTGCGGTGGCTGCACGAAAGGTTGCATACACGCTCCATACCCCGTGATTTAAACAACAGATGCCCCACGCACAAGGCAAAACGTGGTTTCACGCAAAAATGAACATCCGATGCGCATTCCAACACGTATTTAAATCAACGCAAATGTTCAAAGAATCTCATATTCCCACATTCTGTCTGACATTCTTTCTGGCATTCTTTCTGACATATACCCTCACGTTCTATCTGGCATTCTACTTTCTGGTCTCTGTTCGGGCCCGTGCGGAGCTCGCGATGAGCTTCTGGCACTCGGCACACAAGCTGGCAGACAAGTAAGAGACAGGAAGAAGAAAATAGAGGAGAAAAAGAGAAGAGAGGAGGCGTTAAACTATAGTAGTACTACATAGTGGCACTGCACTATGTATAGCACTATACTTCTTGTACTTCTTGTGTGTATACAAATATATATATATACATATATATGTGCGTGTGTGTTCGAAAAAAATGTGTATGTATATATATATATAGATATTCTTGTTTATTTATTTATCTGTCTATCGATAGATAGATAGATTAGGTAGATAGATAGGTAGATAGATAGATAGATAGGTAGGTAGGTAGGTAGGTAGATAGCTAGCTAGCTAGATAGATATACAGATAGACAGATAAATAGATAGATAGAGAGATAGATAAACAGATAGATAGATAGATAGATAGATAGATAGGTAGATAGATAGATAGATGGATAGATAGATAGATAGATAGGTAGATAGAAATATACAATACTATATCATAATAAACTGCCACGTTTTCCTATATTTCCACATGTTTCTCACCATTTTCCCATCTGTTCCCACATGTTCCTCTCATATTCTCATATGTTTACCCATACGTTTCCCATCTCTTTTCCCACGTTTCATTGCCATTTTGAACAGTTTTTGTGGGTCATGGAACCGACAGGGCCCCACTGATGATGAACGTCGACAGCATGGTGGTGGCCGCCTGCCGCGCCAGGTCCTCCGTTCGGCCGAAGGCGTCGAAGGTCATGCCTGGCCGTTGCAACGTTTCTTTTTGGCTGGTCAATCAAAACAGCAATGGTAATCACCAGTTTTGTGTCATTGGGAGTCGCAAATAATTATCATGACAGTGGTAATTATTGATGGCCTTTTGGTTGTAAATCAACCATAATGGGGCCAAAGGTGATTCAATGTTGATTCAATGGTGGTACATGATGATTCAATGGCGATTTATGGTGGTAAATCAACCATAATTGTGAAAAATATGGGGTCATTCTATAGGTAGATGGTGAAAATTAATGATGTTGATGATTTTTTGCTTGCAAATCAACCAGAAAGTTTAGTAGCACTGTATAGTTGATGATGGTAATCACCATAGCTTCTGGTTAGTGATGGTAATTCACCATGAACTGTTTTGGCATGCGGCTGATACGCCGCCCTTGGAAGCGTTGCTTATTTTGAGATGTACCATTCACGATTCACGATCCCTTGGCAGGGTTGCAAATTTGAAAGTTGCGAGAATGAAGGATCAAGAATCGAGCCGTGTTTTTTTGGGCGTATACAAAACAGAACTTCGCAGAAAGGCTACGCAAGCTCCGTCCGCAGCCGTCCGCGCAGCCAACCTCGCTCATCCCCAGCGGCTTCTTCTCCCCACCCATTTCCAGCCACTCCCTTGCACCCACGCCGTCCGCAGCCGTCCGCGCAGCCAAGCTCGCGGATCTCCATCGGCTTCTTCTCCCCACCCATTTCCAGCCAGCCCCTTGCAACCACGCCGTCCGCAGCCGTCCGCGCAGCCAAGCTCGCTCATCCCCAGCGGCTTCTTCCCCTCACACATTTCCAGCCACTCCCTTGACCCACGGCGTCCACAGCCGTCCGCGCAGCCAAGCTCGCTCATCCCCAGCGGCTTCTTCTCCCCACCCATTTCCAGCCACCCCCTTGCACCCACGCCGTCCGCAGCCGTCCGCGCAGCCAAGCTCGCTCATCTCCAGCGGCTTCGCAGGCAAGCTCGCTGATCTCCAGCGGCTTCTTCTCCCCACCCATTTGCCGTCCGCAGCCGTCCGCACAGCCAAGCTCGCTCATCCCCAGCGGCTTCTTCTCCCCACCCACTTCCAGCCACTCCCTCGCACCCACGCCGTCCGCAGCCGTCCGCGCAGCCAAGCTCGCTCATCCCAGCGGCTTCTTCTCCCCACCCATTACCAGCCACTCCCTTGCACCCACGCCGTCCACAGCCGTCCGCGCAGCCAAGCTCGCTCATCCCCAGCAGCTTCTTCTCCTCACCCATTTCCAGCCACTCCCTTGAAACACGGCGTCCACAGCCGTCCGCGCGGCCAAGTTGCTGATCTCCACCCACCCTTTTCTAGCCACCCCCTTGTGACCACGCCGTCCGCAGCCGTCCGCACAGCCAAGCTCGCTCATTCCCAGCGGCTTCTTCTCCCCACCCATTTCCAGCCACTCCTTGCACCCACGCCGTCCGCAGCCGTCCGCGCAGCCAAGCTCGCTCATCCCCAGCAGCTTCTTCTCCCCACCCATTTCCAGCCACTCCCTTGCACCCACGCCGTCCGCTGTTGTCCGCGCAGCCAAGCTCGCTCATCCCCAGCGGCTTTTTTCCCCACCCATTTCTACCTACTCCCTTGCACGCACGCCGTCCGCAGCCGTCCGCGCAGCCAAGCTCGCTCATCCCCAGCGGCTTCTTCCCCCCACCCATTTCCGGCCGCTCCTTTCCTTTCCCTTCCTTTCCCTTCCTTTCCCTTCCTTTCTTTTCCTTTCCCTTCCTTTCCCGTCCTTTCCCTTCCTTTCCCTCTTTCCCTTTCTTTCCCTTCCTTCCCCTTTCTTTCCCTTCCTTGCCCTTCCTTTCCCCTCCCTTTCCCTTCCTTTCCCTTCCTGTCCCTTTCGTTCCCTTCCTTTCCCTTCCTTTCCCTTTCTTTCCCTTCCTTTCCCGTCCTTTCCCTTTCCCTTCCTTTCCCTTCCTGTCCCTTTCGTTCCCTTTCTTTCCCTTCCTTTCCCGTCCTTTCCCTTCCTTTCCCTTCCTGTCCCTTCCGTTCCCTTCCTTTCCCTTCCTTTCCCTTCCTTTCCCTTTCTCTCTTTCTTTCCCTTCCTTTCCCTTCCTTTCCCTTTCTTCCCCTTCCTTTCCCTTTCTTTCCCTTCCTTTCCCTCCCTTTCCCTTCCTGTCCCTTTTGTTCCCTTCCTTTCCCTTCCTTTCCCTTTCTTTCCCTTCCTTTCCCTTTCTCTCTTTCTTTCCCTTCCTTTCCCTTTCTCTCTTTCTTTCCCTTCCTTTCCCTTCTTTTCCCTTCCTTTCCCTTCCTTTCCCTTCCTTTCCCTTCCTTTCCCTTCCTTTCCCTTCCTTTCCCTTCCTTTCCCTTCCTTTCCTTTCCTTTCCTTTCCTGTCCCTTCTGTTCCCTTCCTTCCCCTTCCTTTCCCTTGCACCCACACCGTCCGCACACCACCGTTCAAAGCAGCTCGCTCCCCACGCAGTTAAACAACTAAACGGGAACCCATGCATGGAAGATGCTTTTGGGAAAAACAAGATATGTTATATGATACAGTATGTGTACATATATATATTTATATCGGTACATCTGTATGTGACATATGTGTGTGTGTGTCTGTGTATATATATATATAAATATATATATAAATATATATATATACATATGACATCTCAGAATGCAAGTGTCGATGTGTATGGCAGTGCTATATGTCATACACAGTCTTGTAGCATCACAAACCTGGCCGATTCGACTCTGTCCAAGCTTACCTTTGATCGATGACTCTCGAATGGCAAATTCAAACTGTCAAGCTATGTTTTCGATTCTTTTCTGAGATGCACTGCATTCAAAATCTGATTTTTTTTGCCATTTGGGGATGGTTCCCCTATATAATGCCCATTCCAGTGACGTTGCGACGTGTCGTGACAATTCACCTCGATGAATCATGAACCCTGAATTCCATCAAATTCTAGTTGTATATCCCCATTCTTCCATATTCATCCTCAATTTTGACCGCTTCAAAACTAAAAAATCAGATCAATCCGCTATAAAAATCGCCTCAGACTTCCTCACCGCCCAGATCCGCTCCTTCAAAGCTAATGGCCCCATCCAGGCTCTGTAAGGCGGCCACCTCCGAAATCACGGCCCATTCCTTGGCGCCCAAGCGAAGCTTCAAAACTAGACGACGGTTGGTGCGAGAGCGAAAAAGATGTTTTTCAAGCAGCTCTGAGGATGGTAGTCGTAAAAGATAGTCGGTGAATAGTTGGTGGATTTTATATGAGCTATGGAAGGATATGGTGTGAAAAAGTAAGATTGATTAAGAAGAGGATACTTGGTAAAGGGCATCAGATGACACGTGTCTTGCAACCACAGAGAGAAAGAGGGAGGAAAGAGAGAGAGAGAGAATGAAAGGGGGGTAGAAAGAAAACATGGAGGCTCGGTACCATGATGCTGCGAACTACATGTGTTATCTCATTTTACTATGGCAATTCCCACACACATTGCCGAAAAAGCTCGGCACCATCATTCCGTGGATGTGAAGAAACGCGACGCTTTTATACAGAGACGCTTTTATACAGAGACTCTTTTACACACAGACGTTTTTACACACAGACACTTTTACACACAGACGCTTTCACACAGAGACGCTTTTACACGCACAAAAACTTTTACACACAGACGCTTTTACACACAGAAGCTTTTACACACAGAAGCTTTTACACATAGACCATTTTACACACAAACACTTTTACACACAGAAGCTTTTACACACAGAAGCTTTTACACACAGACCATTTTACACACAGACACTTTTACACACAGAAGCTTTTACACACAGAAGCTTTTACACACAGAAGCTTTTACATACAGACCCTTTTACACACAAACGCTTTTACACACAGACGCTTTTACACACAGAAGCTTTTTCACACAGACGCTTTTTACATAAAGGCTTTTACACACAGAAACTTTACACACAGAAGCTTTTACACACAGACACTTTTACACACAGACGTTTTTACACACAGACCCTTTTACACACAGACACATTTACACGCAGAGGCTTTTACACCAAGACGCTTTTCCACACAGAAGCTTTTACTCACAGACTCTTGTACACACAGACGCTCTTATAGACAAAACCCGTTACACACAGGCGCTTTTACAGGCCGACGCTTTTACAACACATACCAACACGAAATGATGCTTTGAAATCGCAGTGAAACGTCGTGGCTCAGAAGTGCCAACCTTAGTGCACAGCACAGCGCTGAACACATTCCAGTAATTTGATTTACTTCAAGACCAAAAACATCCATCAAAAACCCAGGCCGGTACCAAACTGGCGCAAGAGCCAGCTCGGAAATTTCAGATTGCACGATCATGCTTATAGCTGTTCATTCGTACCAAGCTTTTACACAGAGGCTTTTACACACAGACCATTTTACACACAGACGCTTTTACACACAGAAGCTTTTAAACACAGAAGCTTTTACACACAGAAGCTTTTACACACAGAGGCTTTTACACACAGACTCCTTTACACACAGACGCTTTTACATACAAACCCTTTTACACACAGACCCTTTTACACACAGAAGCTTTTACACACAGAAGCTTTTACACACAGACCATTTTACACACAAACACTTTTACACACAGAAGCTTTTACACACAGAAGCTTTTACACACAGACCATTTTACACACAGACACTTTTACACACAGACGCTTTTTACATAAAGCCTTTTACACACAGAAGCTTTTACACACAGAGGCTTTTACACACAGACTCCTTTACACACAGACGCTTTTACATACAGACCCTTTTACACACAGACCCTTTTACACACAGAAGCTTTTACACACAGAAGCTTTTACACACAGACCATTTTACACACAGACACTTTTACACACAGAAGCTTTTACACACAGAAGCTTTTACACACAGAAGCTTTTACACACAGACACTTTTACACACAGAAGCTTTTACACACAGAAGCTTTTTCACACAGACGCTTTTTACATAAAGGCTTTTACACACAGAAACTTTACACACAGAAGCTTTTACACACAGACGCTTTTACATACAGACCCTTTTACACACAGACCCTTTTACACACAGAGACCGGACCCGTGAAATCGCAATTTTATTTCAGTTTTTGACGTTCAACGTCCATTTCGTGCAAAAGGGTCGCGATGGACAAAGTAAAATCGCAATTTGTCCTCAGTTTTTGACGTCCAACGTCCATTTCGTGCGAAAGGGTTGCCCGTGACACCTCCAAATCGCAATTTTACCTCAGTTTTTGACGTCCAACGTCCACTTCGAGCGAAAGGGTTGCGATGGATACATCAAAATCGCAATTTTTCCTCAGTTTTTGACGTTCAACGTCCATTTCGTGCGAAAATGTCGCGATGGATACATCAAAATCGCAATTTTTCCTCAGTTTTTGACGTTCAACGTCCACTTCGAGCGAAAGGGTTGCGATGGATACATCAAAATCGCAATTTTTCCTCAGTTTTTGACGTTCAACGTCCATTTCGTGCGAAAGGGTCGCGATGGACAAAGTAAAATCGCAATTTTTCCTCAGTTCTTGACGTCCAACGTCCATTTCGTGCGAAAGGGTTGCGTTTCGTGGCGCTCCTGCGGCACCGCCCCCGCCTTAAGAGAGAGATAGAAAGAAGAGCGAGAGGAGATCTGCAGATGTGAAGGTGTGAAGATGTAGATCTGCAGATGTGAGGGTGTGAAGATCTAGATCTGCAGGTGTGAGGGTGTGAAGATGTAGATCAGCAGATGTGAAGGTGTGGGTGTAGATCAGCAGATGTGAAGGTGTGAAGATGTAGATCAGCAGATGTGAAGGTGTGAAGATGTAGATCAGCGGATGTGAAGGTGTGAAGATCTAGATCAGCAGATGTGAAGGTGTGAAGATCTAGATCAGCAGATGTGAGGGCGTGAAGATGTATTACAACGGCTGCTTTTTTACGAAGAACCCTTCGCAGGCGCTCTCGGGAAAAAATAGAAATATCATTGGGAAATTCATGGCTATATCACGAAAATATCATTGGTAAATCGTAAGAATGTCATGGGAATACCATGGAAACTTCCATCGGAATATCATGGGACACTCATGGGAACATCATGGGAATTTCATGGCGGGATCACAGAAATACCATGTGGAAATCGTGGGAATGTCATGGGAATGCCATGGGGATACCATGGGAATATCAAGGGAAACTCATAAGAATATCATGGGAAGACCATGGGAAGACCATGGGAATATCATGGGAACATCAGGGAAAATCATAAGAATATCATCAGGGGGGCATCATGGGAGTTTCATGCGAGTTGCTTAGTGTAGTGTGCAAAACTCTGCATTCGACTGTTGGCCGTCGAAGGATTCAAAATGAGGTGGTCGAAACTGTCGTCTTTGGGGGCGGCGAAAATTCCAACACACTCATCCCAATTAACTTCCGAAACCCTGAAAATCTTACAGGCTCCCTTGGAATCTCATTTGGAAGCTAGGGCTAGCAATTCCTTTTTTGAACAGAAAACCTTACCCTTAAGTTGGTGGGGCCAAGCTTCGGGGGGCAATCTAACTTTAGATGGGTTTACAAAGGCTTCTCGAACAATGGCATCGTCAAAAAACGGAATCGGGTTAAATGCAGGGCTATGCTCCCACTTTATGCGGTCGGCTATCACCGGTTTGGCTACAGACAAGGGCATCTTGGTCCTGCTGTGATTTGCTGTGAACTCCTCTGAATTATGTGACGCACCACACTCAGAAGCAGGAGCCTCTGTACCATGTCCCACTCATGGGAACATCATGGGAATTTCACGGAAATATCAGTGGTAAATCGCGGGAATGCCATGGGAATATCGTGGGAATACAATGGGAATGTCATCAGGATTAAAGAAAGGCTACAAAATAGGAAGTTACGCGTGAAACCCCATAGAAAGGCACGAAGGTATCCTCTGAGGCCGCTTTTCCTTGAGCCAAAATTAGAATCACATGAGGAGGTAAAAACCCACCCTCTTGGCTGGCTTCTTTCTGTACCCCCTTCCTACGAAAGTGACTACCTGCATGCTTCGGCGAATGCTGCGCACACATTGCGGATGCAAGGCAAGATTTCTAAGGGCTCGTTGCTGCACGTGGGACTCATCTGAGACAAATAGTTTCATTACGAAAGTCTGCGCAAGATTTATCATGGATGAGCGATTGCATATGGAAAGGACATGTGCTTATGGGAGTTTGGCCTGTTTATTTCTGGGTGCGTGGCCGCTTCTCTCCCCACACGCGGTAGACAGTACCAACTTCTTTGTGAGAACTGATCTCATACTCCAACTTCGATAAGGAACAGTCACACGGGACACCTACAGGGCACGGACTTAACCGCTGCACTATGCAGGGGCATCGCGTATGATCCTACTGCAACTTGTCCGGTCCCTACCAAGGAGTGGCCAAAACGGCCTTTCAACACAAGAATTGATCAAGGCTTGCTCGACAAGGGTCTATGGGACAATTTCTGACGCTTTCATGCGATTACGGGTCTTTGCTAGGATCAAAAATTCCAATAATGTCCAAGGCTGTTTTCCACTTGTGGACTTCCCAGCATTTCGTGAACATGTCTGCAGCCTGCTGCTCTGTTTGGCAGTGTGGGATGCTAATATCCGGCTCTTTAAAAGCATCAAAAATCATAAAGGCCTTGGACATGACTCCTTTGGGTTTACCCAAAAGTCTAAGGCGAGCAAAGTATCCATTTCTAATTACTTGAGTTGTGGCAGTATTGTCTTGGTGGCAAGTCAAAGGAATAGATCTGCCTAGCAGTTCAGATAGGGACTCTTGCGCGGGGATTGCACCGCCAAACAGAGCAGTGGCCAATGCAATGGCTTCAGCTTCAGTCGTGGAACGGCTGCATGCTGTTTGCCTCTTAGACTGAAAACGTCACAGGGAAAAATGGTCCACCACCTGAAATTACAAGTAATGATCCTGAAGTAGAGCAGCCGTGGTCTGTTTTGGATGCATGGCCAGCATCCGTGAATAACCACAACTTCCAAGCGGCATGTGGATCAAGTTTCAATCTCATCCTGTACTGCATTGTTTCATTGAGATAACAGAAAACCTTGAACAATCTCCGGTCGTCATTTCGACTCTCTTGCTCAAAACGTTGAGGGCATGAAGCAGGTCTGGCCTGCTGGGTCTGGCAAGCCAGTAGGCTTTCATAATCAGTCTGGCTGCTGAATTGGCAAGACTACCCTTACTATCCAAGTCATCAACAGGCAAGGAACTCTCGTCTAGATATGGGGTCGGAGAATTTTAGGGTCCCTTGAATTCTTTACACTCCTGTTTTACAGCTTGCACGCAACGTCCGCAAACTCATGCATATCAAGCTGCACTTCCCCGTCCTGCCCAAGACTTTTGAGACATCTTGGGGTGTTTCAATATGGAGATGCTTTGATAATTCGGACCAGAATTTCGTGATTACCGCAAGGTCCTGAGACTACAATTTCACCAACGTATAGGGTAACCAACATGTTCCACTTTTTGATGATGAAATTGGAAGGGAATAATTAGGATTCAACCCCATCCATTTGAGACATTAAATTTTGGAACTTCAAACCCCAATGCCCCCGTGATTCAGGGTGCCCGTACAATGATTTGTGCAACATGGCGCACGGTCTCTGCATCCATTTGAGATGATCCGGGATCAATTCATCTGTAAGCTCAATGTACGTGTCATGCACTGTGTGAAGGTCACTCTGGATGTGAGCCTTGATAGCGTCTGATTGCGACGTCTTATTCCCTTTTCTAAAACCAAAAGCCAAGTTGGTGTTCAAACCAACTATTGTAGTAGGAATGGCTTTGATCTCTTGGAATTCACTCGGCAAAGCATATTGATCCTAAACATTGTTGCCGAAGAAAACAATTCTTGCTTTCAGTCGCTTTTCAGTAGCTGATTCTGCATTTTTCCAAGTCATTATTGTCATCAATATCCCTCTTGCTACCTTTGTTCCACTTTGCCTCTACTGGCGTTCAAGCTCGCGCCTAGGGATCACATTCTTGTAGTCCCAAGTTCCTGCATCGACAAGGCCTTGGGCTTCCTTTTGGGCTTCGCTGACTGCTGCAGGATCATGTTTTCCAAACCTTTTTGTCAATCAGCTCATGGATGCTCAATGGAATGTGCTCAGGCTCAATGTCTTTGGGGCTTGATAAGCTAATCAGGGGGGGCAAGTTCACACTTCCCAAGGGCATTGCAAAGGGTGTTGATTCATGGAAGCTTGAAGAAGATGGGCTCATTCGATTTCACCATATCAAACGCAAGAAGCTCTTTAATCCCTTGTTCCCAGATGATCTTCCCGTGAAAGCCAAGCGACTTGGAGCAAGAACCACCGAAGTTAATATTTTGAGAATGAGAATGATTTCTGGACTGGGAAAACCATCTTTCAACTTCTGCCTGAAGACAATGAGGTTCCAAGTGGAGCTTTTGAAGCTACGGGTGGTGAGCAGCAGGCCTTGCCGCGCCCAATCCAGGGTGGCAAGAGAGGTAAAAGGGCAGCAGAGAAGTTCTTGCCAGCATACGGTATGATGATTGAGTTTTGTTGCAGTCCCCAAATCCAATCTTGGGAAAGTTTCGGAACCCGTAGGTGTGAAGCACATCCGTCTTACCAAAGCCAATGGAAATGTCGCAGAGCATGAAAAGTGTAATCTCAACTTTTGAAAATTCTAGACTCCGATGCCATGAACGGCGTTGACCTTTCGGGATCAGAAGTTCTTGTCCCAACTATCCAAAATCGCCTTGAACCGTGGAGGTAGGGTTCTCTTCGAGTGGCCGACAGGATGCTCTGGTTGGAAGAGTGAAGAGCTGCAAGACTTTTTCAACTCTCATAATTTCCAGCTTGCACATAGGGGGTGATTCCTATAAGCCTTCAACTGTTGCCTCAACAGATGACAGTTTGATCCGTTGCTTGCGAACCAAAGTTTGCAATTATGATCACCAGCATGTGCCAGTGAAAGGTTCCAAGACCCCCAAATCTGCTTCTATCCCATCACCATGTGTGAAAGCATTGTGTCATCATTGCTTCCAGAAATTTGCCACAAGTTCGTTCCAAGCATGAGTTGCGTGAAGTGCCCTGAGAGTCCAGTGCATGTTCCATCTTCTGGGGAGGTTGTGGAAGCAGCAACTGCACCATCTTCAGGGGGAACTTGGTATGCGGAATGGAGTGAGCCTTCAAACAGGGCAACTTAGGCAACTTCAGTAGCAGTCGCAGGGGAGAGTATTCCTTAAATTCCAAGCGAGCCATCAAGGGCTGTGACACGTGGTGTGGCAGAAATCCTACTTGACCCAAACGTTGAAGTTCAAGTGGCGATATGCCCAGGCCCAGGTTGCGTTCTCATAGGAGAAGCCCTTGAAGCTCCAGAATCTCTTCGTGATTTGTTCGATCTTCAAAAAACGGTTGCATTTTTGATCTTTATAGGACCGTGATTTTGCCGGAATCATTTGCAGAGAACAGGGATTCAACTTTGGTCAAGTCAGGATCTGGACTTAGCGGGGTTTATTATCAGCCATCTCACTTCAGGGTCGGCCGGCACAGGGGAGAGCATCAAGTGATTTTTGTGCCAACGGCTCATTCTCTTGCTAACTTGGCGAGTGCAGGCGTGGTGTACGTAGGATTGACCTATATTGGAAAGAGGGCCCATCGAGAATAAGTCACTGCATTGAAGAACTCAAAAGTCATAAAGCTGATTCCAATCATCATTATCGCCGGGCAAACATCAAGGCATTTCAGGTCAATGATTCTTGGGGTTTGGCAATCCACCCTGGGGAGATCTACAGACAGGCCTCGTGCTATTGCTTGCGCCGTGACGGTCACTTGGGAGAGTGAAAAGGATTTCCCGTGAAGGGTGTGTGGAATAAATCCAAATCAACCCGAGAGATTTAGTATTCCCTCAATACCCTGAATAAAGTAATCCAGACAGAATGTCAGCGAATCAAGAGTCATCGAGTTCTAGCGAATTGCATGTGGCAGTCGCAGCTGTTGGCCTATCTGCGGGAGGTTCGCCAGGGGATGCATCACAATCAACCCAGCATCAAAATTTAGTCCGCAGACCTTAGGATGATCGCAGACTTGCAAACTGTAGTTCAAAGTCTTTGGGCCCTTATCAACCCTCGGAAGTTGCAAGTGACTTGTCGGGTTTTGGAAGCTGGGAGGTTTGAATTGGATGAGAATGAAGTAGCCGTGACTAGGAAGGGTAGAATCCAAAATCCAGCCAGTCCAGGTCAGGGTCAAAGGGTGCCACAAGGTCAAACCTTTGTTGATGCCCGCTCCATCCTATCAATCCAAATTGGAATTTCCCCAAATGTAGCCCATCATAATGCCATGCAATTTGCTGATTCCGTCCGTAGTGCCACCATGCATGAGGCAGAAATGCGACACCATCAGGCTGTCCAAGACATGACCAAGTATTCTTTGGAACATACCCAGAATGTGAGTGCTCGAGTTGCTGACCATGTTAAGCATGAAACTCTGGCAGAAGCCGAATCCCAGCATCAACAGCTTATGAGGGAAGCCATTGCACAAGCCGAAAGGGTCCATGCACAATCCTTGGATGATGTTAGGAGCCATGCTCTGTCTAGGGAATCCCCCGTGGTCCTGGGACTGCAAAGCCAAATTGCCCATCTTACTCGCCTGGATCAGGATTTGTCGGCGCGATTATTGCAAGCAGCAGGGTGCAGCGGTTCAGTCCGCGCCCTGTCTGCAGGGGGTGACCAGGATCGATCAGATAAAGGTTCAAATGTGGAGGCTTTTGATTTGTTTGGTCGAGATGAACCTGATCCCCCACAGTCCAATGCCAATGACTCTGTTAATCAAGTTTTGGCTGTTCTCCGAGAAGAAGTTCAAAATTTGAGGGATGAATTAAGTAAGAAAAAAGGTGGTAGGAGCAAAAAGCAGAAAGATTCTACCAGCTCATCTGATGAATCATCATCTTCGGAATCGGACCCAGGGTATGCCAATGAACGTAAACTCATGCGGTTGAAGGGTTTTGACGAAATAAAAACACCTCAGCTACCAAAAACAGCTGCCGAAATGAGGGGTGGGAAAAATTCTCTAATTTCCCACTTGGTAACATGCTGTAAGAGTAACGAATCCAAGGTTCTCAATTGGTTGAGTGGTCCTTTGGAGGGTCAAGAAGATCCATCAAAAGCTTTCCCAGTTCTGAACAGAGTCCCTGGTACCAAGTTGCTTGAGGCATCTAAAAGTGGCAGATTTGGGGTTGACTTCCAGGCGTTGCAAGAACTCAGTGTCTGTCAAGGGAACCAAGTTCAGGGTCACATCCTGTTGGGCAGGATTTGCAAAAAGTTCCGCCTTGACAAGGAGAGAGGAATGAGTCTCAGCCAACAACACCTCGGCATTGAAGCCACAAGGGTTGGAGATCAAGGATTTGGAAGTGTCTCGGGATCGGGTTGAATTTGTTCTGTCAAGTCTGAAAACATCAATCCCAAAGAAGCTATCCTTAGGTCATGGTTGTACAAAAACATCAAAATGTCCCAAAGCTTGCACTCAAGGTTGATCGGTTTCGGGAAGCTCCTGCAGGAGGGTCCATTAGGTCTTTTCAATGGTTATGGCAATCCATGATTGGCTGCATCGATGGTCCCAACACGGTCATAACACTGCATCAGTTCTAAACGCCCTGAAATCAAAGTTGATGCCGCAGCGGCAAGGGTCGACAAAAAGCAAGACAAGAAAGACCAGAAGAAAGAGAAATCAGAATCGTCCTCAAGCATCAAGCCAAGCTGATGGAAAGAGGAGGGGATAAGGATAAGAGGGAGGTAGTCGCAGGGGAAAAGGGCACACCATGCCTATTTTACCTAAGTGGCACCTGTAGGAGGGATCCATGTTCATTTGTGCATGATCCGGCTGCAAAATCTAAGCCGAAGGCCAATAAAGCTGGATCTAGTGTCGCTGCTGCATTTGCAGTTGCTGCAGGAAACCTGCCATCAGCCGCAGCAGTAGCCCCAAGGATTTTCAAAGCTGTTGTGTCCTTAGTTTTTTTTACCCTGAATCATCTCAATCCCGTTGTTATGCCAGAACGTTCCCTTGTTGAAGATGCCCCGCCACCAATTGTTGAGTCCGGTCTTGGATTAATCCGTCGCCTCAAAGCTTTCGCCTTGGGCTGAAGTGTCACAACAGGTTCGCTAAGATCTTCCTCCTCGAGATCCGGGAGATTCGGCGATGGAGTGTCCTGCTCAGCTTCTCGAGAATCAACTGCTTCCCAAAAAGATTCGCGAATCCTCTTCCTGCGATCTGATTTCCCGCCACGTGGTCTGCGCCGACGACCTGTGTGCATGAACCGAGTCGCCCCACTCCAAGATGCCGAGATCAACGCAACAAAAACTGCGCGTCTCCTAAAGCTTCAAGAAATATGGCTTGGCACAAGGTCGAGGGTTGAAATGTGAAATTGATATGAAAATGAAGGGGGAGCCAGTACGGCCGATAACCCAAAGAAACGCTATAAAATAGCAAGTTACACATGAAACCTCAAAGAAAAACACAAAGGTATCCTCTGAGGCCGCTTGTCCTTGAGCCAAAATTAGAGTCACATGAGGAGGTAAAAACCCACCCTCTTGGCTGGTTTCTTTCTGTAGGGATATCGTGGGAATATCATGGGAACACCATGGGAATGTCATCGGGATATCATGGGAATATCATGGGAGTCTCATGGGAAAACCATGGGGATATCATGGGGGTATCATGGGAAAACCATGGGAATATCTTGCGAAACTTATGGAAACATCATGCGAAAATCATGGGAAATTCATGGCAATATAACAGAGATATCATGGGGAAATCGTGGGAATATCATGGGAATAATATCATGGGAACATCATGGGAATGTCACGTGAATATTATTGGAAACCCGCGCGGAATATCATGGGAAGATTTCATGGGAGACTCATGGGAATATTACAAGTTTAGGATGTCGTTTAACAACAGAACATACTCTTTGCCACTTGAAGAGGGTCTTTGAAATGAGTCCTTTCAGTTGGGGTGTTGAAGAGACTTGGAGCATGTTTCAAAAGTATGTTCATATCATCTTAGAAAAGCTGGTCACGGGAATAGTTTATGGGAATATGATGGATATACAGTATTACACCATGATTTGTTGTGTCCGGTGGCGTCACTCTCTGAAAAAGATCTTCTGAACATATGAGCTTCCCATGATCTTCCCATGATGCGAACGAAGAAGTCGCCAAGATTCCTGATCGAAGAAGACGACTCCCAGGAGTGTGAGGATCAAATGAATCAGGCCCAGCGGGATCATGACCCAAAATCCTCAAGCCACGATCCCAGTGGACAACTTCTCTGGCTCCATGTCACATGTTATGAAAGATCTTGCATTGTGCCTTTGATGGGGAAATCTTTTCTGAAATTATTTGGTCAAATCGGGCGCATGTTTTGGACAAGCTTTCCCCGAGCGAAAAAAACATGGACCAATATCAAGGCAAGAAGCCATATCGCACCTGAATCTTCTGAAAAAGAACCCTTCCGATGAAGCCACAAGTAGCTGGTGTCCCCACCCTTGCAATGGGCCAGCCCATGTCTCGATAATGCAGCGCCAATCCAGCCCAGCAGTAGCCGTTGATGAAGCCATTCAACATTGGAACCAACAAACACAGATTGACATAGCGCCACGAGCACGGGAGACGTTCCTTTCTGTTGTCATCCATCCCATCGCCAAGGGGCCAAGGGGCCAAGGGGCCAAGGGGCCAAGGCTGGAGCCACAGGAAACTCTTCGTAGAAAGTGGTGGATGGAGAAATTTCAAGGTTCTACTAGTTCAACACAGTTCAACACAGTTCAACACAGTTCAACTACCCTTGATATATGGGAGATTATCATCCATGGACATCCTCATGAACCAACCATTGTTTGGTGATCCAGAATTCTGGCGGTACGTTCGTGACAGTCCCCATCACAAATCCTGGGATTGCCTCTTGGTCCGAAAATGGGGTACGGTTTTCATACCGTGAATTTTCAACCAAGTACAGTATCCCAAAATATCCCACAGGTGGAAGCAAAATCACGGAACATGATGATTTTTCGCAGGCGGGACGTTTTTCCAAGCCGCAGCTGGCCTTTGTAATGGCCGTCAAGTCGACACAGAGGCCCGGTCGCCCCAACTATGGTTGGGGAGGTCCAAGCCAAAAAGGGTAACTGATGGTAAGTTGGAGCAGCCAGTGACGCGTGAGTTTTGTGCAACAAAACATGTGAAAACACTGAATATCAATGTCAGTGATATTGAACCAAGAAACTTGACCCCAAAATCACTTGCATATATCACTTACATAAGAGTTTCTGTGAAAATATGGTACCTCTAAATCTATTGGTTAGTCATCATTTTCCGCATTCAATGGCCATTTTAACCAGTATATCTTCAGACAGACCCATTTCCTTGTGGCTCTCCCACTTCATCCCGGGGGGGGGGGTCATCCAGGCAGCCCCTTCAGGGCAGCCAAAAAAAGGCCCGGTTCAAACAACGACGGACTTGCGATCTGCTGCCTGAGATTCCCCCACGGCAGTTGTTTCAGGTTTTTGATCCATGGATTGGTTGGAAAATTGATGGGATTAATCCATGTATGTTTGGGTAGAACACTATGGTTTCAATCATTGAAGTTTTAGAGACGGTGTTTTACCCAAACAAAAATGGGGGTATCCAGGGGGGGTCGTTTATCGATTTCCCCCCTGAACTGAGATGTACCGTAAAAATGTGCACTCAGAGAGGGTTGATGTTGGTTATGTTTCCATTCTGTCAAAAAAGGAACCACTGGCTTCACATCTCCAAATAAACATGGATTGTAAAATATATTGTATATATATATATACATGGTAGATCAAAATTAGTTCCTGCTACGGTTTTCATTCATTAAATCGCCTGAGGTATCGCTATCAAATGGTTGGTTTGATCCTCAGATGTTCAAACGTCAATCTTCACATCCAAATCCAGTCCGCATCTGGGCAGATTACTACAATTCACAAATGATGAAAAACAGGGTTGCTCCCAACACCCCAGACACTAGGGAGGTGGCCAAATAAAATAACACATGTTCCCCCTTGTGGCAATAAGTTTAGCTACAGTATAGGTTGGAGCAACCTCCTCGATTCTCATTTACCTGGCAAGGTCGTCCAGATCGGAAAAATCCACCTGGATGTATTGATGGTTAGTTCATGTTAGTTCCCTGTTCACATCCCATTGCGGTGTTTTTTCTGCATTTTTGCATCGTCGCTCCAATTGACCCGGATACATCAACGTCAATCCCCATCATGGTTGGTGAAAGCCACATTTCTTGAGGTTAAAACCATTTATTCATCAACCATCCACCATCCACCATCCACAACTACCATCATCCCCAGTTGCATCCGTTGCATCCGTTGCGCGACCAAGTGACCCACGTAGAGATGCGCTTCTTCCCCTTGCGCCGCGCGCGCTGTTCCTCGGCGCTTTCCATGTCCAGCAGCCCCACGCAGAAGGCGAAGAAGGCGCTGAAGGCCACGAAGGTCGTAGCGGAGACACCCGTGGCCACCAGGAAGGGAGCCACAGGCGACACCTGCGATTAGGTGGCGGAATGGGAGTGGTGTTTCAGAATGGCAAAGAATGGTGAAAATTGATAGTGACAATGTGGGGAAGATGATGCGATAATGGAGATATGTGGATAGTTTCCAAACAAGGCATGCGAGTTAAAAAGTTGAGTTGCTGCGCCAAGATTGCTTTTCATGTGTTGCTGTGCGCTCGTATTATGGCGCTTTGCAATCCAGCAGTTGCTCAGGGCAGTCCAATTTTGCTGCGTCACTGTCACGGTGTTCTGGGCAAGAGAAAGAAGATGTCAAGAGAAAGAGAGGTCAACAAAGAATCTCAAAGAAAAGATAGCAAGAGAAAGAGATGTCAAGTGAACGGGATGTCAAGGGAAAGAGATGTCCAGAGAAAGACGGGTCGGGAGCGAGAGATGTCAAGAGATTTCAAGGTCAAGAGGAGGAAATTCATAATAAAGTGATTTCGGAAGAGAGTTCGGCATCAAGAACAAGACATTTCCAGGTGCCCTGCCCGACAAAGTTCAATGTTGCTTCCAAATTGTGACTTAAGCTATGCGGGTCCCAAAAAAATGCCAACTATGGCACATTATGGGAAGAATGATGATGATAGCCCCGTTTGGTGATGGTTTTCCAGCCTCGGAATAGATCAAAGGACCCAAAAAGCTGGAGCCACAAGCCCCGATGGCATGTGCAGTCTTGCACCAGACCTGCATCGTAAGGAAAACTCCGTTGTCGCCCAAGGAGTAGAAAAGGTTTAAGTCGGTGGTGAATTTCGCATTGTAAACAAAGAGGGAGCCCATCAGCACTTGCGCTGTAACCGCTGCTGCCAGCCAAGGGCTTGCCATCCCCAAATTGCAGAATACCCTTAGTGGCTGGAGGGTCGGAGCAAGAGAAACGGGAGCAAAAGCGCTTGACTTGGAGCAAATCCGCTTGTGCTCTTCCCCTCACCAACGACCGTTTCAAAAAGTTTACAAAAGACATGCTATCTGTCTCAGCATCCAAAACATCACCAACCAAGAGAGATTGTAGGGCTGCATGAAAATGCGGCGACAGAATCCCACTTCTGATGTGCCATCACTGGAACCACTTGGAAGGAGTTTCATCACAAAAGCCGCCGACAAATCTCCGGCCGATTGAGCCAAACCGATACCCATCGCAGAGTTCCATCTGTGGTACTCCTTGAAAAAAAGGACAAATGTCCCAAGCTCAATGATGTAGCAAACCTGGTGGACGATTGAGCCGCTGGCACCCACCCCTCCTAGAGATATTGCAAAGTCAATTCGGTGTTTTCGTCACGAGTAAAGACGCAAAGTGTGGAAAACTTAGGAGAGATGAAAGCCAGAAAACCGTGTTGTTAAAGCAGCAAAGGCTTATCATCAAAGCTGGAAGAATGGTATCTTTCGGTATGCTCTTTGCTTCCTCTACTTCTGTCTGATGGGTACCACTCGACAGCCCAGATCTTCGCGCTACTCGAGGTTCCAGCGCGCCCATGGCTGCCGGGTGGTATTGAAAGTTGTCGGAGTCCTTCAAGTTCGTGATGCGACTGAGGAGCGTTTTGCTGCTCTGCGCCGTGCGCGCGGTTCGCGCTGTGTGCGCTGTCCTCAGCGTCGCACCTGGATGAGTGAGTGTGTCAGTTTTTGTCCCTTCCAAAAAATGTCGCAACCATTTCCAAACAATCACTTGTGGCCAATTCAATCCGCCAACAACCCCGTGGCCAATCTCAGACGCCCTGTTCAAAAACAGTAGCTGTTTGACAAAGAGTCCCATGAAAACTGCCACAATGTTCATTAATCGAACGAAACTGAAATGGAACTCACCTATAGTGATAAACTAGTGAAACCATGGGTTTTCCTGGAAGATGATCTACATTCATGGTGGGTTTTCCACGTTTATATATTGGTTTTGCTGAGGGCACTCAAAAAGTGCAGCGAAACAAGAAAAAACGGCTTTGAATTTCCTACGATGCGTCGGAATAATCCTGATTCTTGGTGAAATCCGCATAAGTCACCATAAATCCATATAAATGTCCCATTTCTTTTGGTGAAATCCTTATGAAAAACCACCAGTTGTTGTCCCTGCTGACGTTTTTTTTTGTCTGGCCTGTTGCATTGGTGACGCCGCTCCTGAGACTACGTCTGTCCGCGCGTTGAAGTCGACCTCTGAGGTGGCGGACGTTGGGGACATCATGGGGTATGTAAGGTTTAAAAAAAACAGCAGCTGTTGTCCATTTTCACGTTTTTTTTTGGCCTGGCCTGGATTGGTGCCGCCGCTCCTGAAACTAGATCGGTCCGGGCGTTGAAGTTCACCTCTGAGGTGGCGGACTCTGGGGACATCATGGGGTATGTCCACACTGAGGGGTTCTTACAGAAAGTGTTGAGGCCGGGACTAGATCAGGGCACACTCTTCAGGGCGCAGCATCTTTCTGTAAATTCTCGCATAAAAGTGGTTTTGTGCGATATCCATGTGCATTTCAACTGCGCAGGCTCGCACAAAGTGAGGGTCGCGGTTTTGGGCCCCGTTTTTTCCCCACCTGCCAGGTGAGGGTTGTTAGATTTTATGTCAGTTGCCTGCTCCTCTCCTCCTCTCCTCTCCTCCTCTCCTCTCCTCCTCCTCCTCCTGCTCAACCGCGACCCTCGACGCACAGTGTTCTCTGTCGGACCTCAACCACGACCATCCACGCCCAGTGTTCTGCCGGACCTCAACCACGACCATCCCCGCCCGGTGTTCCCTGCCGGACCTCAACCACGACCATCCACGCCCAGTGTTCCCTGCCGGACCTCAACCACGACCATCCCCGCCCGGTGTTCCCTGCCGGACCTCAACCACGACCATCCACGCCCAGTGTTCCCTGCCGAACCTCAACCACGACCATCCCCGCCCAGTGTTCCCTGCCGGACCTCAACCACGACCCCAAACCTTTCCCCGTGTCTGTGACTCGTGCTCTCGGGGCCAGGAGATATGCCAGATAGAATGCCAGAAGATATGCCAGATAGAATGCCAGAAGGTATGCCAGATAGAATGTCAGATAGAATGCCAGAAAGTATGCCAAATAAAGTGCAAGAATGTTTGCCAGATAGAATGCCAGAAGATTTGCCTGATAGAATGCCAGACGATATGCCAGAACATATGCCAGAAAATATGCCAGATAGAATGCCAGAAGGTATGCCAGATAGAATGTCAGATAGAATGCCAGAAGGTATGCCAAATAAAGTGCAAGAATGTTTGCCAGATAGAATGCCAGAAGATTTGCCAGATAGAATGCCAGATAGGATGTCAGAAGATATGCCAGCAGATATGCCAGATAGAATGCCAGAAGATATGCCAGAACATATGCCAGGTAGAATGCCAGAAGATATGCCAGATAGAATGCCAGATCGAATGCCAGAAGATATGTCAGATAGAATGCCAGAAGATTTGCCAGTAACAAATCGATAAATGTCATGGTGGGGATCAGACGAAGTAAAGTAATTTGCTTGAGAATTCCTGCATTTCTTTTTGTGAGATGTACATGTCCATTTCGACTGCGCACGCTTGCGCAAAGTGTGCGTCCCGATCTTGGGCCCTGGTTTTTCCCTACAAATTCTCGCATGAAATTGGTTTTGTGAGATGTCCATGTTCATTTCGACGGCGCAGGCTCGCACAAAGTGAGAGTCCCGATCCTGGGTTCCAGTTTTTTGCTTGAGAATTTTCGTATAAAATTGCTCTTGTGAGATGTACATGTCCATTTCAACTGCGCAAACTTGCACAAAGTGTGCGCCTAAGTTTTGGGCCCCGGTTTTTCCCCTGCAAATTATCGCGTAAAATTACTCTTGTGAGATGTCCATGTTCATTTCGACTGCGTAGGCTCGCAAAAAGTGAGAGTCCCGATCCTGGGTTCCGTTTTTTTTGCTCGAGAATTTGCATACAAAATTGCTCTTGTGAGATGTACATGTCCATTTCAACTGCGCAAACTTGCACAAAGTGTGCGCCTAAGTTTTGGGCCCCGGTTTTTCCCCTGTAAATTCTCGCGTGAAATTACTCTTGTGAGTTGTCCATATTAATTTCGACCGCGCAAACTCGCACAAAGTCTGCGTCCCGATCTTGGGTTCCGGCATGTTCCCGGTAAATTCTCGCGTGAAATTACTCTTGTGAGATGCCATGTGAATGTCGACTGCGCAAGCTCGCACAAAGTGTCCCGATTTTGGGGGCGCGGCAGTTTTCCTGTAAATTGTCGACTCAAATTGTTTTTGCGAGATGTCCAGGTGCATTTCGACTGCGCATGCTCGCAGCGGGGTTCTGTAGCTCTGGGCTTGCGGCATTTTCATTGTAAATTCTCGCAAAAACGGGCTCTTGCGGAGATCCTGCTGGCTTCCTCTCTAAGAGGTCTATGCATGATCCTGTACAGGTCCTCAACAGAAGATCTTATGGAGATCCTGGTGAGATCCTTCCTAAGAGGTCCTTGCATGAGAAGTTTGTGAGAACGTCCTTACATGATCTGGTACAGGTCCTTGTGAGAAGATCTTGTGGAGATCCTGTTGAAATCCCCCTCAAGAGGTCCTTGCATTAAGATCTTCCAGATCCTCTGCATTGGTGCTTGTATGAAAGCTCTTCTGGGATGCTCATATGAAGTCCTTGTATGAAGATCCTGCGAGCTCCTCTACATAGTCTATATAGAGGGTCCTGCTGCTGCAGCTGCGATCATGTCTAACCTCATCTGTTACTGTTCCATAGCTACTGTTGCTTGTATCTAGTACATTGGCTTCCTACCCCCCCAAACTGTTTGGGGCCTCTCGCCAGTGCAATCGTTTGACTATTCTGGAATGCCGATACTGGGTAATTGTAATATGTCACTAACACTGAAGACATGGATGATGAATGGAATAGCAACGGGCTTTTTGAATGATGATGAATCCCTTGCCCCTATTAGTCCTTGACCCCTAATATTAAACACCCCGTAAATGGTCCCAAATATGTGTAAATGCCCGGCTAAACCATGGTTTCTAGTGGGGTGTTAATATTAGGGAGATGGGATTACCAAATACTAAAGTATATATTGTACACTACTAAATACCACCCGAATACTAGAAACTACTTCAGGTGTTTATTAAAAAGGGGGGTTAGTATTACGGGGAAGGGATTTTATGGCAAGAATATGATGGTGGTTTTTTGCCAGAACTTTGAACTACCAATCAGCATGGGACATTAAATTGACTACACAAATATATGACAAATTGAATTTCTCCCATCATCTCTGAACAAAAAATACAAGTAAAAAACATAGACCCCGATAACATGGATGTTGCCTAGAATGGTGGTACCCCCAAATCATCCAGTCATTCGACATCATTCGACCATGACTTAGTAGTGAAACAACCATGGTGTCTGGGGATAACCCATCACTTCAGAATCCCCATCATTCACCATTCTTAACCGTTACCAGTAGTACCGCACAAGGCGGTGGCGAAAGTTTCAAAGATAGGACACTATAGGAGAGGTGAGTTGCTGTGATGCATGGATGGCAAAGTGAGTCCACTGATGAACCGAAAGGTGGTTGGAGTTGTGTTTTCCCCACATCACCATGTGGGGTTCTAACTTTTTGTTGGACATCGGCCCGCCTCCGTCCGCCGTCCGCCTCCCGCCGTCCACTTGTCTCTTGTCTATATCAACTTGTCTCTAACAACTTGTTTGTATCAAATTGTGTGTGTCAACTTGTTTCCACCAACTTGTCTGTAACAACTTGTCTTTATCAACTTGTCTCTACCAACTTGTCTCTATCGACTTGTCCCTATCAACTTGTCTCTATCAACTTGTCTCTATCGACTTGTCTGCAACAACTTGTCTCTATCAACGTGTCTCCATCAACTTGTCTCTATCAACTTGTCTCCATCAACTTGTCTCTATCAACTTGTCTCTATCAACTTGTCTCCATCAACTTGTCTCCATCAACTTGTCTCTATCAACTTGTCTCTATCAACTTGTCTCCATCAACTTGTCTCTATCAACTTGTCTCCATCAACTTGTCTCTATCAACTTGTCCCTATCAACTTGTCTCTATCAACTTGTCTCCATCAACTTGTCTGTATCAACTTGTCTCTATCCACTTGTCTCTATCAACTTGGTGCGCCGCAGCTGCTTTGCGAAGCAGGCGCAGCACTTGGTGACTCTCTGTACTCCCTGGACGGCTTTGGACGCCGTTGACGCCGCGGCTGCTTTGCGTGGCAGGCGCGGCACTTGGTGACTCTCTGGAGGGTTGCTTGACGCCGTTGGCGCCGTTGACGCCACGCTTGGTGACTCTCTGGAGGACTGCTTGACGCTGTTGATGCCGTTGATGCCGTTGACGCCGTTGACGCGGCGGCTGTCCCGCGCGGCAGACCTGGCACTTGGTGACTTTTTGGAGAAAGCTTGACGCTGTTGGGGCCATTGACGCCGCGGCTGTCTCGCGTCGCAGGCGCGGCTATTGGTGACTCTCTAGAGGGCTGCTTGACGCCGTTGATGCCAATGACGCCGCGGCTGTCCCGCGTGCCGCCGTTGACGCCGCGGTTGTCTTGTGTGGCAGGCGCGGCTCTTGGTGACTCTCTGGAGCTAGGGCTGCTTGATGCCGTTGACGCCGCGCCGTTGACGCCATTGACGCCGCGGCTGTCTCCCTTGGCAGGTGCGGCACTTGGTGACTCTTGGCTCTCTGGAGGACTGCTTGACGCCATTCACGCCGTTGACGCCGCGGCTGTCTTTCGTGGCAGACGCGGCAATTGGTGACTTTTTGGAGGGTTGCTTGATGCCGTTGACGCCGCGACTGTCTCGCGTGGCAGGCGCGGCACTTGGTGACTCTCTGGAGGGTTGCTTGACGCCGTTGACGCCGTTGACGCCGCGCTTGGTGACTCTCTGGAGGGCTGCTTGACGCGGTTGATGCCGTTGACGTCGTTGACGCCGCCGCTGTCTTGCGTGGCACGCGCGTTACTTTTGACCACTTGGTGGAGAGCTGCCATTGACGCCGTTGACGCGGCTGTCTCGCGTGGCTTGATGCCGCGGCTGGTGGCTGTCTTGCTTGGCAGGCGCCAGACTTGGTAACGCTCTGCAGGGCTGCTCGATGCGGTTGACGCCGTTGACACCGCCGACGCGCGGCACTTGGTGACTCTCTGCATGGAGGGTTGCTTGACGCCGTGGACGCCATTGACGCCGCGGCTGTTCGCGTGGCAGGCGCCGCACTTTAACTCCCTGCAGGGCTGCTTGATGCCGCTGACGCCGTTGACGCCGTTGACGCCGTTGACGCCGCGGCTGTCTCGCATGGCAGGCGCGGCACTTGGTGACTCTCGGGAGGGCTGCTTGACACGGTCGCCACGGCTGTCTCACGCAGCAGGCGCGGCACTTGGTGACTCTCTGGAGGGCTGGTTGACGCCGTTGACGCCGTTGACGCCGCGGCTGTTTCTCGTGGCAGGCTTGGCACTTGGTGGCTCCCTAGGAGGACTGCTTGACGCCGTGGCACTTGGTGACTTTGTGGAGAGCTGCTTCACGCCATCTGCACCAATCTGAACTGTGTCTGAAGGAGTCTGCATGAACCGTGTTAACAGTGTCTGAAACAGTTTCAACCGTGTCTGAACCAGTTTGAACCGTGTCTGAACCAGTCATGAACCGTTCTGAACGGTGTCTGAACCTGTTTGAACCAGTCTGAACCATGTCTCAACCAGCCTGAACCGTGTCTGAACCGTGTCTGAACCAGTCTGAACTGTGTCTGAACCGTGCCTGAACCAGTCTGAACCGTGCCTGAAGCGTGTTTAAACCATTCTGAACCAGTCTGAACCGTGTCTGAAAAACCATTCCAAGCCGTGTCTGAACCATGCCTGAACCAGTCGGAACCGTGCCTGAACCGTGTCTGAACCAGTCTGAATTAGTCTGAACTGTGTCTGAATCAGTTTGAACCGTGTCTGAACCAGTCTGAACCATGTTTGACCCCGTCTGAACTATAGTCTAAACTGCACCGTTCCTTTTGAACCACTTTGAACCAATCTGAACCGTGTCTGAACCAGTCTGAACCAGTCTGAACCAGTCCAAACCGTGCCAGAACCATTTTGAACCGTGTCTGAACCAGTTTGAACCCTGTCTGAACCAGTCTGAACCGTGTTTCAACCAGCCAGTCGCATCTAGCCAGTCTGAACCGTGTCTGAACCAGTCGGAACCGTGTCTGAACCAGTCTGAACCGTGCCTGAACCCTGAACTCTGAACCGTGCCTGAACCAGTGCGAAGCGTGTCTGAACCGCGTCTGAATTAGTTTGAACCAGCCTGAACCGCCTGAACCAGTCTGAACCATGTCTGAACCGTGTTTGAACCAGTCTGAACCAGTCTGAACCGTGTCTGAACCGTGTGTGAACCAGTCTGAACCGTGTCTGAACCCTGTCTTCTGCCTGTCTATATATCTACCTAATTATCTATCTATCTACCTATCTACCTATCTGTCTTTCTATTTGTCTACCTATCTATCTATTCACCTATCTATCTATCTATCTATCT